TTGGCCAGCACATTTTGTGTTATTTAGCAATTGATGGTAAAATTATGTCCATTTTTAAGTCTAAAGAAATCTTATATGATCTTGACATGTGGCTGGGAGATGCTTTCTTAGAGGAGAGAGCCTTTAAGGTCAGGGTTCTTAAAATGACACCCCTGAGTTCCCAAGGGGTCCATGGATAGATTTGAACAGAGTCTGTGAGCTTGGATGAAAAAAAAATTGCCTCTTTGTTTTTATTAACTTCTACTGGCAATTTAGCATTTTCTTCAATTATTTAAAAACATTATTCTGAAGAGGGGCCCATAGGCTTCCCCAGACTGACAGCCACACGGGGTCCATGACACACATAGACATCCCGGCTTGAAAGTAGGATTTGGCTCAACTGAGTCAGCGGTTTTTTCTACTTACCTCCCAGCCAGTGCAGAGAGGCCTTGTATTCTTTATACCTTTCAGTAAGTCGTGACCATAAAGATATGGTCTGCTGCAGAATATTATTTGTGAAGCTTTCCAGCTCCCTTCTCATCCTTTCATCAGGGTTGTGGTCAATGTGGTTTCCAATAAAGGTTTTGTAGGAGTAGAAAAGTAGACATGAGGATGAGGGGTTTTTTTCTTTTGTTTGTTTGTTTTTGTATGGACCTGTGACTTCCCTGATGTAGGCAGTCCCCAGTGAGTAAGCTCCATCTATTGTTACACACTGGCAACTCTTTCACAACTTGGTGTCTTAAAGCATTGCCTTGCACACTGAGAGGTAACGTGATTTGACCTGGCTAGAATATATTAGAGGCAAGATTGGAACCCAGGTCTTCCTTACTCTGAGGCAGGCTCTCTGTCTTCTAGGACATAGTGCCTCTCATGGGGGTCAGTAGTTGTGATATTTTCAAAGTCACTTTTGGAGGGCAATAGTAATATCATCCTTGATGTTTTCCCAAGTATTTGGTATCCATCTTTCACTTTTTGAAATATCTTGAGGGTCAGTCCTTCAACATCCTTCTCCCTCAGCACAGACTTTCTCCTTCTCGACTTGGTTTAGTCCAGCTGCTCTTCCAAGATTTGTTTTTCATTTTGTAGAGCCATTTCTACTTCACTCCTCGTGAGATTCATGGAGAAAAGCGTTCGGGACAGAAATCTCTGTAGCTTTTCCTTCTATTTCCCATCTGTTCATTGACCTTCCTCCAGTTCTATCTCTGAATGCACCAGGGATGATCTAGGTTAGTCAGATCCTTTGCCAAAACTCTCTAAAGTTTTTTTCCCCACTGCTGCTTCTCACTCATTTATTGTGTAATGTTGTTTATAATCTTCTGTCATCCTCTGTACGACTTTACAAAGGGGCTTGTATTTAGACCTGTGTTGCCTTTGGTTGCTGTATCGCTGTTTGGCATGGAGATCAGCTTTTCTGACTAAAATGCTCTGTTCTCTGTTTTCTATCCTCCTTTGACTTTTCTGTGATGCTTGGTTCACACCATTTGAACTTTGCTAGAGAATGATAGGGTTCTGGGTCAGTGTCCCTTCTTTTATTCGCTTCCCATATTCAATATCAATGGCTTGTTTAATAGGTCAGTTCTGAGTCGCCTCGGCTGTATGCCACAACTCATTTTTATCCTTGTTTGATATTGATTTTTATCTTTGCTCTCACACTCTGCTGTTCTGACTGTAAATAGGCAGCTGACTTGAAAATGACTCACGTTTTCCTGTTGCTTCTTGTTCAGATACGCTTAGTTACCTTTTTTTTTTTACATGTGTGATATATATCACTTGGTTTCTCGATGTCCAATATCTTCTAATTCTTTGCATAGAATGTATTTTTGTATATTCTTGTACAATCAAGCCTTTGGCCACTTTCATTTATTACTCCTGAACCACATTTCCCAACATGCTTTTCTTCATTTTCCCTAATGCTTGCTTTTGCACAGAAGCCACTGAATATTAAGAGATATATTAATTGAATTTGGAAAGCCCTTTTGAGTTTAGAGCATTCCTTTACTTCTTCCTCCTTTGAAGCAGCTATTGGCACATAAGCTGTAAGTATTTCTGTGGTGTGCTTTTTCTAAATGCTGTTTATGAGCCCTGCAAAGCCAGATGGCTATGTGATCCCCAGTAGCTTTGAATGCACAATAGAGTCACCTGCAGCTGGATGGACATTCCATAGAGCTAGTCCATTGGTACCTCTACTGTACTATCATATGTGCTGGTCCATCAGTATATATTTTGAACAAACATTGCATGTAGGTAATGGGCCTAGAATGGAATAGAAAAGAGAGAGTGCTGGTGAAATAATTATTTCAATGACCTCAACCGTCTCCCTGAAACAAAGTTCTTCTAGTTAACACCAGGGTTCTTCTTGTGATATTATATGGCTACAGATCACAGAAAACCACAAGGTCTGAGGAAAAAAATTAGAGGTCATCCAGAGGGTGGTAGACTCATGGTGGGTTTAATTAGGCTGCTGCATGTTAGGAATGATCACATACGTATAGACGTTAAAGATATCATCAAAGAGTGGCATGCCTAGAAAAGGGGGTACCCTGGGTTTGCTGGAAAAGGAATGACTTTTAACATATGGTTTTGGACTAGATGAACACTGAGGTCCCTCCCAGTTCTGAGATTCTGTAATTCCATCTCCTGTGCTGCCTTGGTGCCCCATTAATGTAAAGGGGTCTTCCAGTTGAGTGGGTCTTCTGGAGGGAGATCTACAGAAGTGGCCCTGGATGGGGAGGCATGGGTGGGTGAGTTGCACACGTGTGCAGTTGGTGGGAACAGCCATAGTGATGATGTCACAAATCTGTTGAAGTACTGTTTAGTTCAGGGGTGGGGAAACTGTGGCCTCGAGGCTACATGTGGCCCTGTAGGTCCTCAAGTAAGGTGCTTTGACTGGTTTAACCTCTCCTTAGTTCTTGCCATGTGCGTACCTTCTGATTCCATCTTTGAAGAAGGAATTCGGGACAGAAAGGCATGAGGCTTCTGAGTCAAGGCACAGCCAAAGTACATATTGATTGAATTCGAGGGTCATAGCCATTTCTTTGTTGAGTTTCTCTACTTCATCCTTTTAAATCAATCAAAGGATCATAGAGATATAGCTAGAAGGGATCTCAAAGGCCATTTAATCCACTCCACCCTGCCCCACCTTATTTTATAGAGGAGGAGTCTGTGGCCCAGGGAAGTTGCTCCAGGTCACATAGGTCATGCTGGAGATGGCGTTTGAGCTGACGTCCTCTGATTCCAGAATAGGTGCCCTTGCCACTGTATTGGACTTTGGGCATAGAAGCAACCAACCCTTCTTGGCTTGGTGGTATCATGTTTCTGCTAATGTCCATCCTGAGCATCAGAAAGGGAGATAACCATGGGTCCCATGGAAAGATATCTTTTGTTACCTTTGGGCGTATGATGAAATCAGTGGGAGATAGTATGGCATTTCAGATTGAAATGGCCTCGGAGCTGAGAAAACCTGGGTTCGAGTCCTGTCCCTGGCACATTTAGATTGTATGACTCTGGGCAAGTCAATTAACCTCATTGCTCAGGGCAGCTCTTTAAAATTGTATAAGTTAATGTATAATATAATATATAACATGATAAGTTAGTGTATAAGTTGTAAAGAAGGCCTACATTGGCAGAGGAAGTTTCTTCATCAAGGGTTCCTTATGCCAGTGAAATCCCAGGTACTGTTCCTATCCCTTTCCACTTTTAGATTTCATTCATAACAGGAATGTCAGGACCTCAAAGTGGCACGGAGCTGCCCTGTGTTCAGAAGACCCTGCTGAGAAGGCAAAAATTCTGAATCCTTCTCCTAATCTGAAAAAGCATCAAAGATGAGGCCAATGACACATCCCCAGCATTGGGACTGTCAAGTGAGAGGCGTAGGGACATATGGAAAATAAAGATGTAAAATGGTGTTTCTCCTTGTGTGCCTTCTTCCGCCCTTTGTTTCGTCGTGATTAGGGAGATGTGTGCTTGCCAAGGGCTGTCTGCCCCTCTGTTTGGAGATGCCCTGGGTCGACGTGGGTGGTGAGCTCCTCCCTGTTCTCCATCCTCCTCCACATACCTACATATGATTTGGCCCAGAATCAGTTAGGAACAGCCCCAGAAGCTAGAGTGCCTTTGGAAAGCTGTCTAGAATGCCCAACAACCCCCCAAAATAGCCACCTTTCAATGCTTGTGATCGTCAAGTCTTACTGTATGGCCATAAATGACCACAACCTCTGAGCAGTGGTGGGCATGTTTACCAATGATGATGTCTGTGTAAGAAGAGGCATCAGAGATACCAGTAAAATATATATGTGATACAGAAAGGAGACGGATCAGCCATGTAGCGAGAAGGAAGACAGCTAGGTAGCTCAGTGGATAGAGCTCCAGACCGAGTTCAAATCTTGCCTCAGATACTTATCACCTATGGAACCCTGGGCAAGTTGCTTCATGTTTGTCAGCCTCAGTTTCCTCATCTCTAAAATGGGGCTCATAATAGTACCCACTTCCCAGGGCTGTTGTGAGAATACAATGAGATAATACATTGAAAGTGCTTGGCAAACCTTAAAGTCTTATATAAATGCTAGCTACCTAGTAGTAGTATCAAGAAATATTAAATGATCCCAAGGAAGGTCTCCAGTACAAAGGATGGCTAAGACTGCATTGTTTCTTATGGAATGTTCAAATACCAAAAGCTTTGTCCAGGCTTGTTGGGTAGATGTTTTATGTTGAATTTATGGGACAATGTGGGTAGTGATCACCTGGGAGAAACTGGTGTGAATGGCCCCAGAGCAAGTACAAGACCACAGATTCATTGGAGTATAATTGATTTATGCCTGCCAAAGTCACTACAGATATACACCTTTAAAATAATTGGAATTGAGACCGCAAAGTCATTTTTAGGTGAAAGTAGCTCCTGGTGTATTCCCTTTTTTGAGCCATCAGGTTCTCTTATTGTTGCGTTTTCTTCTTTAAGGCATTCATTAAAGTTCAGCAAGGCTCCTCCTGAGTTTTTATTGAGTGCGTGTTTTTCTTCCATCCCGCAGAGGTCTGAAGGGCGTGATCGTCACTCTGAGCGATAACGGCCATCTGCAGTGCTCCTACTTGGGTACGGACCCGTCTCTTTTCCAAGCCCCCAAAGTGGACTCTAGAGAAATAAACTATGAAGAGCTCGATGTTGAAATGAAAGAGCTACAGAAAATCATCAGAGATGTCAACACATCACCAGGTAGGCAAAGGGCTGCCTGCTGGGTGGGGCCTTCTGTCACGACGTGGCGCAGGGAGAGTCTTGTCTTCTGCATACCTGGGATCATTTTTTTCTTCCTGCCACTTCAGAATAGCACCTATGAAAACAGCATTACACTCAGCCCACAAGGGATCTGTGTTTCATTTGTGCGTTGAGGCCGATGGGAAACCGGTGTCCTCCTCATGGGCTAATGTGATTCAGAAATTGGCCAGCATTGTGTTTTTCTTTATGCTCTGAAGTAAGCAGAAAATGCCAGTGGTGAGGGATGGGACTGGGGGCTGTAGAGAGAACATTAACACTCTAACCCGTTACTTCTTCATGTTCTCAATTTTTCTGGTCATTTCAGTTACCTCTCTACAGAGGAAAACGGACACTTTGGCACAGTTTGCCAAATGGCAGGTATTTGTCAATTGCATGTGTCATTCCCACGGGTAGCTGCAGCATCATGTGGGAGGAGTGTAACTAACTGGTAATGCACTAATTACTGGGAGGTCAGTTACTAGTGACAGTTTCACTTCCCGAGTTTTCAGTACTGCAAGTATTATGTTACTGTTTGATTCCCAAGGATGTCATTCTATGATGAAACTTTTTTCCTCAAATAGCAGAAACTGAGTGCTTTCCATTAGGCATATGAAAAACATTACTTTTCAGCATCAGGTCAATGTATTTTAAAAAAATTGGAAAAAATATGAACTTTTTAAACGAAACGCGATGTTGGAACAAGTAGGACCAATAAGAGGAGCATAGCGTCAAAGGCCAAGGAAGACAGATGAAGCCGGGTTCCTTCCCTGATTCCCTCCACCACACCCACTTCTAGGCCCTGGAGTCTTTTCTGTTATAAAGACTTTGTTGCTCTGCTGCTTTTAGAACTTTAGAGAAAGTGCAGATCAATTTTAAGTTAGTAACACAGATTCAAGTAGGATTATGGTGCCTTGGTCCTGGTTATCCTCTGTTATTAAACTTTTAAAGGAAAAAACAGTGAACTGAAAGGCCCAGAGTGGACTTGTTTTTGCCCCAGTACACACGCCCACTTAGAGCATGTCAGGGAAATCTGGGAGGCTTTTTTGGTGTCGCTTCTGCTTAGAAGGTAGCTAAATTTTGATCTGCCCTATTGAGGAAGGCAGGGTTTTCCACGGCTGACAGTACTTGTTTGGGTCAATGGTGTACCCGTAATAGCCTCAGGTTCCTTCAGTTTTAATTTGTGGGGAGGAAAGGGAGTGTGCATTTATAGAGTACCTATTCTGTGCCGGGCACTGTGCTGAATAAAGGCTTTACAAATATTATCTCTTTAACCCTCACAACAACCCAGGGAGGGCTATTATCCCTATTTTTACAGCTGGAGAAACTGAGGCTGAGAGAGTTATCACCAAGCTAGTCTGTATCTGAGGGAGGATTTGAATTCAAGTCTTCTAGGCCCAGTGCTCTGTCCACTGTGCCCCCTAGCCACCTCAATTCTAATTGGCAAAAAAGGTGGCACTCATCAAACGTGAAATTCCCAGGGCTCGTTAAAGCAACAGTATTTATTTATGATTATAAATAATTATAACTTCATTACAAAGCTTGATGCTTGATGGTGGCATTTCCGCTTACTCTGGATGGTTGGCCTGCCTCGTCACTCTCTCTAAGCTGTATGTTAATGCGATGTTGACTGATCTTCCTTTGTAGAAAGTCCCATTCCTGCTCCAGGTGATTGCTAGGGATCCCTCTGGCACCCCTGGGCTGGAGGCTGCAGGGCTGTTCTCATGGTAGTCTGGGTCCCTGGGGGGCTGCATAGGTTCCAAGAGATTTTGGCACAGAGGTCACTGTTTGTGTCATCTCCAAATGGACGTCAGAACATTTCAGGTCTTTTCTTTCATTTCTGAAGAGAAGATTTTTTCCTTTAGATATCTGTGAAGGAGTCCTCTTTGAAAAAAACAGTATGGATTGGAGGGGGAGCCAAGATGGTGGAGTAAAGGCAAGGACGTGCCTGAGCTCTCTCCCAAACCTCTCCATATACCTTTTAAAAATGACTCTAAACAAATTCTAGAGCAGCAGAACCCACAGAAAGACAGAGTGAAACACATTTCCAGCCCAAGACAGCGTAGAAGGTTGGCAGGAAAGGTCTGTTGCACCTGGGTGAGAGAGTAGCTCAGTCTAGCTCAGGATGTGCTAGTGCAAACCAGGCCCCAGCAAACCAGGAGCAGACTTTGGGGCCACCTGAATCCGTGACAGCAGTGGCAGTTTCCAGAGCTCTCAGCCCACAGATGGTAAGGGGATCGGACAGTAGATCAGAAGAGATTCATAGGGGTCCCTTTGCTGGCACCAGGTGCAGGACTCTGTTGCATTGCGTATACTTGAATCTGGGTCCCACTTCTGGGTCTGGGTCCCAGTCCTGGGTCTTTGTCCCAGGGTGAGGAGGAGCACTGGCACAGCAGAGCCTGCAGCCTCAGGGGAGCAGGGACCCCGGTCACAGTTCCAGGGTTTGAAAAGAGTGCTTGTGGTCACTCACAAACCCAGGCGCAGTACAGGGGAGTAGTAACCATACCTCCCCCCTAGGTCATACCACCTTGGAAGAGCCAAAAACTTACAGGTCCCCAGCATTACCTCTGAAAACAGCTATGTAAAAAACCTGAAGCTTGGGGTAGTGCCCCTTCCACTTTAAAGTGGGGAAGCAGAGCCCCACTTTATTTTTATTTTATTTTATTTTTAAAATTTTATTAATTTATTTTGATTTATCAACGATCACTTCCATATGCTTTTGAGTTGAAAATTTTTCTCCTGTTTCTCCCCCCCACCCTTCCCAAGATGGTGCACAATCTGATATAGGCTTTACATTTACATTCCTATTAAACGTATTTTCACATTAGTGAAGTTGTAAGTAAAAATTAAAACCAATAGGAGGAACCATCAGAAAGATGGAACAAAACTCAATAGAAGGTAAAAATAAGTGATAGCGATTTGACTTCCATAGTTCTTTCTTTGGATGTGGACAGCATTTTCCATCCCGAGGCCTCTGGAGATGTCTTAGATCCTTGTAATGCTGAGAAGGGTTCAGTTTAACAATATTAGTCATCGCATAACGTGGCTGTTATTGTGTACAAAGTCCTCTTGGTTCTGCTCACTTCACTCAGCATCAGACCATATAGGTGTTTCCAGGTTTTTCTGAAGTCAGCCTGTTCATCATTTCTTATAGCACAATAGTATTCCATTATATTCATGTACCACAACTTGTTCAGCCATTCCCCAGTTGATGGGCATCCTCTCAATTTCCAATTCTTTGCCACCACAGAAAGAGCTGCTATGAATATTTTTGTACATGTGGGTCCTTTTCCCATTTGTTTGATCTCTTTGGGATATAGCCCTAGAAGTGCTATTGCTGGATCAAAGGGTACGCACATTTTTGTAGCCCTTTGGACATAGTTCCGAATTGTTCTCCAAAATGGTTGGATCATTTCACAACTCACCAACAATGCATTAGTGTTCCAACTTTCCCACATCTTCTCCAACATTTATCATTTTCCTGTTTTGTCATGTTGGCCAATCTGATGGGTATGATGTGGTACCTCAGAGTTGTTTTGATGTGCATTTCTCTAATCAATCACGATTTAGAGCATTTTTTCATATGAATATAGATGGCTTTAGTTTCTTCATCTTAGAACTGTCTGTTCATATCCTTTGACCATTTATCAATTGGGGAATGGCTTGTGTTCTTATAAATTTGTCTTAATTCTCTATATATTTTAGAAATGAGGCCTTTATCAGACAGACTGGTTGTAAAAATTCTTCTCAGTTTTCTACCTTCCTTCTAATCTTAGTTGCATTGGCTTTGTTTGTGCAAAAACTTTTCAATTTAATGTAATCAAAGTTATCCATTTTGCTTTTCATAATGTTCTCTATCTCCTGTTTGGTCATGAATTCTTGTGCTCTCCAGAGATCAGATCGGTAAACTATTCCTTGTTCTCCCAGTTTACTTATGGTATCAGCCTTTATATCTAAGTCATGAGCCCATTTTGGCTTTATTTTGGTATATGGTGTGAGATTTGGGTCTATGCCTCGTTTCTGCCATATTCTTTTCCAGTTTTCCCAACAGTTTTTTTCAAGGAGTGGGTTCTTATCCCAGAAGCTGGGGTCTTTGGGTTTATCAAATAATAGATTACTATAGTCATTGACTACTGGGTCTTGCATATTTAACCTATTCCACTGATCCACTTCCCAATTTCTTAGCCAGTACCAAGAAGTTTTGATGTTTGCTGCTTTATAATGCAATTTAAGATCTGGAATGGCTAGGCCACCTTCCTCTGCATTTCTTTTCATTAGTTCCTTTGATATTCTGGACTTTTTGTTTTTCCAAATGAATCTTGTTATTATTTTTTCTAACTCTATAAAATAATTTTTTGGTAGTTTGATTGGTATGGCACTGAATAAGTAAATTAACTTAGGTAGGATTGTCATTTTTATTATATTAGCTTGGCCTACCCATGATCAACTGATGTTTTTCCAGTTATTTAGATCTGATTTTATTTGTGTGAAAAGTGTTTTGTAATTGTGTTCATAGAGTTCCTGGGTTTGTTTCAGGAGATAGACTCCTAAATATTTTGTAATGTCTACAGTAAGTTTAAATGGGATTTCTCCTTTTCTATCTCTTGCTGTTGCAGAGCCCCACTTTAGCATAGAGTTAAAGGTCAAGAAATAGCCTGGAAAATGAGCAAACAACAGAAAAAAATTCTGACCATAGAAAGTTACTATGGGAGCAAAGAAGATCAAAACACACACTCAGAAGAAGACAACAAAGTCAAAATTCCTGTATCCAAAGCCTCAAAGAAAAAAATGTGAATTGGTCTCAGGCCAGGAAAGAGCTCAGAAAAGATTTTAAAAATAAAATAAGAGAGATAGAGGAAAAATTGAGAATAGAAATGAGAGTGATACAAGAAAGTAATGAAAAAAGAGTCAGCAACTTGGTAAAGGAGGCACAAAAAATACTGAAGAAAATAATACCATAAAAAATAGAGTAGGCCAAATGGTAAAAGAGGCACGAAAATCCAATGAGGAGAAAAACTCCTTAAAAAATAGAATTGGGGACAGCTAGGTGGTGCAGTGGATGGAGCACAGGCCCTGAAGTCAGGAGGACCTGAGTTCAAATGTGGCCTCAGACCAGTCACTTGACACTTACTAGTTGTGTGACCCTGGGCAAGTCACTTAACCCCAATTGCCTAACCAAAAAAAAAAAAAGTAGAATTGGCCAAATGCAAAAGGAGGTACAAAAGCTCACTGAAGAAAATTATTCCTTAAAAGTTAGAATTGGGCAAGTGGAAGCTAATGACTTTATGAAACATCAAAAAACCATCAAGCAAAAACAAAAGAATGAAAAAATAGAAGACAATGCAAAATATCTCATTGGAAAAACAACTGACCTGAAAATAGATCAAGGAGAGATAATTTAAGAATTATTGGAGTACCTGAAAGCCACCATAAAAAAAGAGCCTAGACATCATCTTTCAAGAAATTATCAAGGAAACCTGCCCTGATATTCTAGAAGCAGAGGGTCAAATAAAAATTGAAAGAATCCATGAAGTCACCTCCTGAGAGTGATCCCCAAATGAAAATTCCCAGGAATATTATAGCCAAATTACAGACCTCCCAAATCAAGGAGACAATACTTCAAACAGCCAAAAAGAAACAATTAAAATATTGTTGTCAGGATAACACAAGCTTTAGCAGCTTCCACATTAAAGGATTGGAGGGCTTGAAATATGATATTCTAGAGGACAAGACAGCTAGGATCACTTAGCTGGCAAAACTGAATATAATCCTTCAGGGGTAAAAAAATAGACATGCAGTGAAATAGAGGACTTTCAAGCATTCCTGATGAACAGACCAGAGCTGAATAGAAAATTTGACTGTCAAATACAAGATGCAAAAGAAGCATAAAAAGGTAAGCAGGAAAGAGAAAGCACAAGAGATTTAGTAAGGTTAAACTATTTATATTCCTACATGGGAAAATGATATTTATAACTCCTAAAAACTTACTCATTATTAGGGCAATTAAAAGCAGTATACATAGACAGAAAGCAGAGGTGTGAATTGAATGTGATGGTATGATTATTCAAAAAATAAAATTAAGGGATGAGAAAGAAGAATACACTGGGAGAAGGGGAAAGGGAGAGATGGAGTGGGATAAATTATCTGACATAAAAGAGGCCTGAAGGAGATTTTACAGTGGAGGGGAAAATGGGGGAAGGAGGGAGCACATGAACCTTACTCTCATTGGAATTGGCTCAAAGAGAGAATAATATACACACACTCAGGTATAGAAATCTATTTTACTGTAGAGGAGAGTAGGAAGGGGAGAGGACTGGAGAAGGTGGGGAAGGGGGGAGAGCTGGTAGAAGGGAGAGTACCTTGGGGGAGGTAAAATCCAGAAGCAAAACACGTATGAGAATAGAAAGGGTGAAAGGAGAGAGAGAGTAGGATAAATAGAGGGAAAATAAGATAGAGGGAAATACATAGTTGGTAGTCATTACTGTGAAAAAAATTTGTACAATGAGTTTCTCTGATAAAGACTTTGTTTCTCAAACATATGGAAAATGGAGTCAAGTGTACAGAAATAAGAGCCATCCTTCCATTGATAAATGGTCAAAGGATATGAGTAGGCAGTTTTCAGACAAAGTAATCAAAGTTATAGTACATAGAAATGCTCTGAGTCACTATTGATGAAACAAATGCAAGTTAAAACAACTCTGAACTCCTACCTCACACCTGTAATATTGGCTAATTTGACAGAAAAGGAAAATGACAAATGTTGGGGATGTGGCAAAATCAAAACACTGTGTTTTAACTAGTATTGGTGAAGTTGTATACTGATTCATCCATTCTGGAGAACAATTTGGAACTATGCCCAAAGGGTATAAAACCATCCATGCCCTTTGACCAAGCAATACCAGTACTAGGTCTGTATCCCAAAGAGAAAAAACCAAAAAGGAAAAGGACCTATGTGCAAAAATATTTATAGCAGCTCTTTTAGTGGTGGCAAAGAACTGGAAATTGAGGGGTGGTCCATCAATTCGGAAATGGCCGAACATGTTACATATAATTGTGATGGAATACTACTATGCTTTTAAGAAATGATGAGCAAAATGTTCTCAGAAAAACGTGGAAAGATTTACATGAACTGATGCAAAGGGAAACGAGCAGAGCCAGGAAAACACTGTACAGGGTAACAGCAATAATGTATGATGTTCCACTATGAATAACCTAGCTCTTCTCAGCAATACAGTGATCCAAGACAGTTCTGTAGGACTTATAATGAAAGGTGTTTTCCATTTCCAGAGAAAGAACTGGTAGAGCCTGAATGCGGATCAAAGATACTTTTTCTTTACTTTCTTTCTTTTTCTTCTTTTTTTTTTGGTCTGTGTTTTCTTTCATAGAATGACTTACGTGGAAATATGTTTTGCATGACTACATATGTATAACCTATATCAAATTGCTTGCTTTCTCAATGAGGGGAGGGTGGGAGAGAATTTAGAACTCAAAATTTGAAAAAAAAATATGTTAAAATCGTTTTTGCATGTAATTGGGAAAAATAAAATATTAAATAAAAATTTAAAAAAGAAATATTGGCCAAGAAATTACTAATAAATCAATTTATTTTTTAAGAATGAAAAAAATTATTTGTCCATATGTGAAAGATATGAGGTTACAGATTACAGACATCCTTTTTTATGAAAACATTTTGTTATTTTATAAAAGGATTAAAGTTGCTTGAGATCAAATATATGTTTAAAGCCCATTATTCACTTAAGTATCTAATATTCTGATTTATTGACTTAAATTTGCCAAACATATTACTGACATCTGGAAGTTTCTGTTTAGTTGGAAGGGACTTCAAAGGGCATGTAGTCTAATCTATATAAACTCCTTCTTCACCATTTGCACTGTGCTCGTCCAGCTGCTGCTTCAGAGGGAGCCCCCAACCTATTCTGCTTTGAATCAGATGGGGGTCACGCATACGTACATGTATGTGTATACGTGTGCATATACACACCTATACGTGCCCTCAACATTTGTTGTTGTTGAGTTGTTCAGTTGTGTCCTACTCTTTGTGACTCCATTTAGGGTTTTCTTGGCAAAGAGACTGGAAGTAGCTTGCCATTTCCTTCTCCAGATCATTTTACAAATGAGGAAATGGAGGCAAACAGTGTTAAGTGACTTGCCCAGGGTCACACTGCCAGTAAATGTCTGAGGCCTTCCACAGCACACATGTGCATAAACACACACACCTATTCACAATGTACACATACATGTCCTATGTGTATGCATGTATTACATATGTATGTTGCCAGTCAGTCAACAAGTGTTGATTAATTAATAAATTGTTGTGCCAGGCACTGTCCTCAAGGAACTCGCATTCTAACTGGGGAGACAACATGCCAGTAACTGGGTACATAGAAGATGGAATGTCTGTGGAAAGCCTTTAGCAGTGAGCTCATCTAATCCCTGGCAGACTCATGTAATTATTAGACAGGACCCGTTTCTGTGTGTTCTAGAATAAGGTATCAAAATAAATTTTCCATTATTGTTTCAAGAAACCCGGAAGTGTGTGAGGCTGGTCCGATGATGGGAGGGTTGTAGGCGTGGCCCTGGCAGAGTGTTTGCTCAGGCCCTTGGAGGCTGCTAACGGCTGCCTCATCGCCCGTTGGGCTGCAAGCACGGGGGATGTTGGTTTTTCCTGCTCGATGCTGCTCATTGCTTTTCTTTTAAATTTATGTACTTTATTTTTAGTTGAGGAAATAAAACATTTCATAACATTGTATAATAATTTTAAAATATTGCACACGAAACTATAAAATCTATAATGTACAACTTGCTATTCTTCTTAGATAGATAATAAAGTTAGCATGTAATTTTCCCCCTTTTTTCTTCCCTCCCACCACCCTAGAGATGGCTACCATTATACAGAAATAGGTGTATGCATGCACGCACATATATATGTTGGTGTATGTTTGTGTGCATGTGTGTATGCACATGAAACACACTACACAAGGCACACATACGCATACGCATTAACACATAAGCTTGTATATACACACATACATACATGTACCCATACACACATCCATACACATATATAATTGTATACAAATGTGCCAGGCAATGTACTTGGTGTAAACACAGGTAAAACCAGCATGATCCCAATAGTATAAGTCTGCAGAAATAAATACAAAATTCATAGGTATAAGGACCTCCTCTTTGAGGAAAATCCTTTGACCAGTGGATGCTGCTCATTTCTCACAAGGGGGAGGAAATGCATGCGTGGGAAGCAGTGGAGTTGCAAACAAAGAAACAAACAGATAAACACATAGGTAGGCATCAGTAGAGCAGTACACATGAGAAAACAAAAGATTCAGAAGAGGACAGCAATGAGAACTTTGTTGTCAAATTTGTGTGCCTAACATGTGCCTAAAAGCCAGACCACATCCAAAGTTTGTGGTTACCCCAAAAGAGTCCTCCTCTTCTTTTTTGCACATTGGAGGAATGTTTGTGTTTGTTGATGGCTGTTCAATTCATAATCAAAATATATATATGCATGTATATATATTTTTAAAAAGATCTTTCTGTGGTCTAGTTGATAGCTTAGGATTAGAAATTATGTGCTCTTTTATTGACTAGTTATGTCTTTCATTTAACCAGTGTTTTTTCATTTGTAACCCATTAGTTTGTTATAATCAATGAGATTAGTTATTTCCAAAGTGGAAAGTAAACATGGGGAAGCCATTTCTGATGTTGGTTTTTAGGGGGCCAGCTCAACGTTCCTGTGGAAATACTTACCTTGGACCTTTCTTTGCAGGTCCTCTAGCTGAGAAAGAAGGTTTTCTGTCGATTTTTGCCTCCGTCTCCTCCACCCTGGATAGTGTGTCTGTATGTAAATTCATTTCCTGGGGGGGTCATGAAGAATCAGTGCTGGTTGTAGGGGGCAAGGATGTGAAGTAAGATCTGGGACCAGTGGAAATTTCAGAAGAGTTCGTTTTAGGCCCAGTTCGCTCTAAAACAATATGCTTCCTCCCTGCTACAAGTGAGAGGACGGGAGGAGGCAGCAGCTGGGAGTGATTCCTACCTATCTTTGGGCTCATTCTTCTCCCGGTTTCCTTTGGCACCTCTCTGTGCACACTAGAGCCTGGGACCTGGACCTTGGGCCCACAGATCTGGTGGACCAGGAGGCAGGGTTAAGTCGGAGTGCGTAAGATGGGCAGGGTGCCCTGCTGTGAGGGCGAGCGCCGCTACATTTAGAGAGGCTGATGAATGTCACAGCCAGAGCAGCTCAGAAAGACAGTCTCCTGAGGCAGAGAAGGGTTGCCGTCAGTACTGGTGGAGGGCATAATCTTACTGGTGAAATTGCAGATCCTTAAAGTTTCATAAAAGTAGAAGACTCCAATAATTTTCTTTAAATGTCCATGGTTGAATGAGCAGAATCAAGACAGTTCAAGCTGTGACTTTTGGGGTAACCTTTTAGAACCCCAAGTCTTATTTGTGTTGTTTGGGTTGGTATCTGTCTTACAAAGAAGCCATATATTCCCCCCTATTTTTTGAGGAGTCTCTTAGCAGTATTTAGCTTTCTGAAAGCATTGTGGAGTGATAGCCCTCTGTTCTTTATTTTCTATCTCTTGTTTTCCTCTCTGCCCTCTTCTTTCCTCTATGGCCAGAGTGATTCTAAGGTATGATGTTGGGACAGAGGATTTAGGTTGGTTTAGGGGTGTGGGTGGCTGCAGAGGCCTACAAGTGGGACAGCTCTTGACCAACCAGCCAGGTTCCTCTGCCCCTTTGCTCCATGCACAAGATTAGTTATCCCCTGCAAGCCGTATTTTACAGCCTGTGTTCTGGGTCTGGTGAGGTCTGTGAAGTTGACATCTAAGCGGGACCCAGCTCCTAGAGTTTGCTATATTTAGCTCTCTTAACCCATCATTCAGCCTGGGAAATCACTTCAATGCCTGGGCGTCAGAAACCTAATATAATAAGTGGTTTTCATGAGGTTTTCTAAGACCCACCTTAGTGCAAACATTGAGACCCAAGTTGTAATAAAAATCATGTTACCGTGCCACAGCCCAGTGAACGGAGTGAGCTTTGAAAACCATGCCTCCACGTAGGGCATGTTCAGCTCCCTGAAGCACATAGGAGAGGCACTGTTTCCAGCCTGTCCAGCTTAGTACACAGTTTTTCACCTGGCCCGACATGGAGGCATTTTGGCATTGGCCAGCTGGTGCTCACACCTCTTCCCTGTCTCATGAGGGATGCCTTTTGGCTTTGGGCCACATGTCTTTTTCTAGTTATTTTTTTCCTAGGTGACCTTAGCACAAGTTACTTAGGATGACTGCTTGCCTTTTGGTATCATAACAACTTTTGGCATTTTTAGGAAAGGGCCTTGACAAAGCAACGTGACCTTGTGGCTACCTGCCTCACTCCTTCCTCTCCACTCGGTGTCTTTTTCCAGCTTCATGCTTCTTCTCTTGATGTGACTGTTGTCAGGAGCCATCATTCATTCATAAAAGAGCAGCCAGTTAGTATTTAAGGGAATACTGTTGGGAAACAGAAAGAAAACTCTGGGCCTGGCTAAAATAACATTCTTCCTTCTCCATTTGGGGGACAGTGCTGTGTTGCTTTTGATGCCTGACCCCTCAAATACTCAGATGCTCAGACGTGCTCAGGTGTTAAGAAAATGGAAAGGAAAGGGATCCTTTCGTTTTTAGCTCCACCTTTGGAAATGGGAGAAACAGAATTTTGTCATTAGAGTGAAAAGCTTGGTTTGATATCTGCCTTGAGATTCACAATGAAGGTGATAGGATCTTAGCTCTTAGGCCAGAAGATTCCTTAGAAATCGTCTAGTTTCACCCCCTCATTTACAGATGAGGAAACTGAGACTCAGGGGAAGTGACTTGCTGAAGGTCACACGGACACTGAGAGGCAGGTCTGGAACGTTGCCTCCACATTCACTCCAAATTCATCTCTCCACTTCACCCGGAATTAAGAAAGATCAGATTGCGCTGAGATGAACAATATAGCTTATGATTTTAATACATTTAAGGATCTGTGATGAGGGAAGAGGTGGGGCCTTCCTCTGCCAGCACTGATTGCGCCTCGTCTCTCACTTAGCTCTGTGCTCTTGGTTGCCTGGGGCCTAGAGAGATTAGGAGCCTTAGATCATGGCCGCACCACTTGTGTCTTAGGCCTTCAGCCCAGGCCCTCCTGTCCCAGCCCTGCCCTTGCTCCTCCTTCCTCTACTGCATGATTTATTGAGAATTGCTGAACTTGTTACATAATTCTAGAAGCAAGCATTTCCATTGGATTTTCCTTATAAAGAAACAAAATCAACAATTATTTCCCATTGGTTGGATAGGACTTTTATTTTATCTATCTACCTTCACCTTCCAAGACATAAATTTGTGTTGCAATTATTAGATAGGTTTCACCTGTCAAATTTTATTTTTATTTTTTTAATATAGAGTGAACACAGAGTTGTTTCTAGAGACAAAACCTTTTTTTTTTTTTTAAGGCAATTGGGGTTAAGTGACTTGCCCAGGGTCACACAGCTAGTAAGTGTGTCAGGTGTTTGGTCTAAGGCCGGATTTGAACTCAGGTACTCCTGACTTCAGGGCCGGTGCTCTATCCAGTGTGCCACCTAGCTGCCCTGAAACAAAACCTTTTTTAAACGTAAAAACATAGTGCAAGGAAAGGAAGCTGACATAGTTATAGAGCTCTCTTTTTTGGAATAGTTACTATAAACAAAAAAAAGCTAACTTATCAATTGCCTTTTAGCCTTAAAACCTTTCTTAATCTCTTTTGGTATTAAGGAGCAGGCCCTGGGAATGTGATTCCCCTTTAGGGGGAAAGATGCCTTTTCCAAATTGAATGTGCAAAGAAGGCTTTTCAGAATGGAGAATGAGAAGAGACATTTATATGCGATATAAACATCAAGTTGTAGAAACAGATAGTTTCAACAGGCAGAGAGATTGGAAGTGAATGTCTTTGGAGATGTAGAGTGTGACCTTTCCTCTCCCTGCTTTTTTGTGGGATCTTTAAAATCTGAGTTCATGCCTCCCCCGAAGAGGAGGTATAAACATCTCCATTGCATGTTGTGGTCTGTCATCAGTGATAGATCCTTTACGGTCAATTCCCTGTTTAATTGGTTGATGGTGCGGGGTTCATACTGCATCCAATGTGTTCACTCCTTCGTGTGTAGTTGGGATCCTTCTCCCCCCTCCCCCCTGCTATTCCGGGTTTCCTGATTCTCTCTTTCTGTCTCCACAGCAAGCCGCCAGCCATGCAGTGGGAGCTGAAGCCGTGCCCTCGGTCACAGTGCAGGTATCGAGGGAACCCTAGGGGGCCCCACGCCCGACAGTAGCACACATTTCATCGTGGCATTTTCCCTGCAAGTTGTTCATGCGTTGGGCAGGAAAGTCTCCAGGGTGGTTCATGTTTCAGGGGCTTGTTCTCACAGGCCGGAGGAGCAGATGGCCTTCATCTATAGAGGATGCATTTCCTGACAAAGTATATTGTAGCACGAACCTCATTTTTCGCCACCCGTTTTAGGTGGTTATGACTCTTGTAAAATGACTTGAGTGCCACGTGTTGACCTGGTGGCAAGCATGGGCTGTCTTTAACTTGGCAGGGGCCAGGTGCGTAAGGTTCTGATGAAGTCTGTTCATGGCTTGTGGGGCATCTTAGGTGTCATTAGGGATGTGAGGGGATTGCTGCCCATCGGGGCTCCCTCCCAGAGCATCTGACCCATTGGTCAGTCCTAGAACCTTTCTGATGACCCGGACATCCTGTGGTCGTTTGAAATGAATTCCTAATCTGCTTCTGCAACATCTGAGACGGATTATCTTGCCTCATCCTTCCGTGAATTGGCTGTAAAGGGGACCACAAGAGGGAGATGGAGGTGGGCATTCTGTGGGAATCAGGCCAGCCATGTGCAGTTATTCATTTCCCCCCCCAAATGCCTCAATCTCCTCACTCTGGGTGACTGCCTCCGTTTCCATGAGTTCAGTTAGCGCCTCGTTCGCAGACGCCTTCCAATCTGCACATCACCCTTTTGTCTCCTGACCTCCGCTCTCCACCCCCGGCTGCCAAGACATTTCCAGTTTGGATTTCCTATACACGTCTCAAACTCGTACTTTCCAACACGCATCTTTCTGTAGCCTTCACCGAGAGGCATCTTTGTATGAGGAGAAGATCAGCGGATCTAGATCTTACCTCTGCTCCCTCTTGCCTGTGTGACTTCCCTTTTTCCACCTAAATGTTTCCTCATCTAGACAGTGAGGTGCTTGGAGCCAGTGACCCCCCGAAGGCCTTGCCAGCTCTGCGTCTGTGACGCTCCACTGAGGCCTCTCCTTTCTGTTGAGGGGACCGCCGTGCCGCCTCTATTCGCATGGTTTCCAAGCTGGGCCCATGGTGCTCCACTGTTCACAAACCATCAGTGGCTCCCTTTTATCTCAAATCCGCTCTTCTGAGCCCTTCCCCATCTCACCACAGACCGGCCTCCTCTAGGTTCTGTACCCTCTGTGTTCTTTCCTCTGGCTCCCTGCCCTGGCACTCGCTTCACCCTTCTCCGAAAATCTTTTTTGGTGCCCCTCCCTGTGCCCCTCTCCCTGCCCCCCCATTGCTAGTGCCCGGCCTCCTGAATTACCTTGTATTCAACTACCTTGGATTCTATGTGTTTTCTGGAAATACTTATCTATGCCCCAGGCAGCGTTGGGTTGTGGGTTCAAGTCCTGCCACTGATACAGGTTGGCTGTGTGACCCTGGGCACATTGCTCAGTGCTCTAGGCAGTTCTAGCACTACAGAGTTGTAGAGAAGGTGCCAGTCAGGATGTGTGGAGGGGGTTTCCTCACCTGGGAGCTCCCTGTACCAGTGAAATCCCATGTCTGTACCTTTGTATGCATTCAGTGTACCCCCAGCGCTTAGCACTGTGCCTGGTGCTGAGGGGAGCTTAATAAATGCAGCTGATTGATCGGTTGTTTCCTGAGCCGGAGGCCAGCTCTCCGCCCACAACACCAGCCTGCTGTGCCTTTCGGAGTGCGAGAAATCACACTCACGTGGTTTTCAGGCGTCTGTTGAATGGACAGCTCGGTGAGCGTTGTTCTGTCTGGCAGAAAATAGTCAGCATTTCCTAAACGCTGGAAACCAGAGAACTGGGGCCCTTGGCAGTCCAGGCAGAACTTGTTTGGTGCCCTCGCCCCGCTCTCCCTCCCTCCCTCCCTCCTTCCATACGTACATACGTACATACGTACATGCGTACCTGCACACTTGAGACCACTTGGATGATTGGTCGCTGCCCTTGGAGAGAGATGTCAGAGAACGGGGTGTCGTCAGTGGGGTTAGTCTGCCCTGGGTCCAGCCGGTGGCTCTATGCTGAAGGCAGCTCACATGCGTGATGACTCCCCAAGCTGCTCTCTTGGGGTTCCGCCGTGGGAAGCAAGGGTGGTCTTCCCCAGTCTTCTCTCCCCCAACTCCATCCCCTTAATGCTACTTAGTCTAGAGAAGCATTAGTGGCAGGAAGTCAAGTCAGGAATGCTCCGCAGCTGGGGTTCGGAGGGCAGGCCTTGCTCATCCTGCACACTGATTCGGAAGCGTCTTGCGTCTAGATCAATGAACGTCACTAATGTGATAGACTCCGGGGACCTGGGTCCGTGCTCCCTGCGCCTTCTTTCCTGGACGAGATTGGCCAAATCGTTCTCCATCTGTGTCCTTCTTTGTAAAATGAAGGGATTGGGGGAGGGGGAGCGCGGGGCGGGGCAGCAGCCTCTAAGGTCCATTCCACTCCTGAGCCTGAGTAACTGTAAGTCAGGACCCTTTGCCTCCTGTTCCCTCCTTAGGTTTTGAAATGGCTGGAGTCGCCTCCTTTATGAGAAGATTCTTCCATAGTCTCCAACTGCTAAGTTGTACGCTTTGGGTCTTCTTGTCAGCATTGTGCGGTGGAAAGACTTGCTCACTTGATTTGGAGTCAGAAGACCTGAGTGTGAATCCTGGCTCTGCCATTTACGGCCTGCATGACCTTGGGCATGTTACTTCCCCCTTTGGGTCTCAGTTTCCTCATCTGTAAAAAGATAACTTTGTGCTCATTGACCTTTGAAGTTCCTTTTAAATGGCTAGTTCTGTGCCCACATGAGGCTTGTGCGAAACCTGTAGGACAGTTGTGTGGGGGCCTGAGGGACTTCCTTGCTCGGCCTGACGGCTTCTCTACAGAATCCAGCCATAACTCTCTTCTTATGGTCACGTGTAATGACGGCGGCCAAGATGTGCAGCCATGTGAGGTTCCGGGATAGTAAGTAAGTCCTTGTAATTGAGGTCATTTTTTCCGTCCGTTCCAAGTGAAGATGAGGCTACCTTCAGTTTGGGCTCATGATGCGTGACCATCTATCCAGGCAACCAGGAAGGACTTTTGGCATAATGCGTGTATAACAAGAATGAAAATGCAGGATCATGTTGCCTAAGGATTGTGTTTCAGTTTGTAAGGGAAGCTCGAAATACCGTGGAAAATCCTTAAATTTTCCTCCCCGCCCCCATAACTTCTCCTTCTCCCCAGTTAAAATAGAAGATTTACTCTTAAGCCAAGCGTTGGTTAACTTTTTGGAGTTTCTGACCCTCTTCTCTGATACTGTGGTTATGTCTTCAAACGCCCCTGTTTAGGCCTAATGCATTGTTGGCACTCAGTAAATCAGAGTGTTGTGGATATCCTATCACATGACCCACGTCAGCCAAGCACCCAAGTGCAAACCCTTCTTGGATGTCATTCAGTGTAAATTTGGGCAGGGCACAGCAGGAGGGAGTGCCATGGCTGAAGGGTCTCCTGTTTGTTTCTCGTGCTCATCTGTTCGGTTTTATTCTTTAAAGCAGAGAAGGTGTGGAGGGTTTAATTCAGTTCCAGTGGCTTAGTGCTCTGCGCACAGTTGGTTCGCTTCGGCGTTGCGGTTGTTTGAAAGGAGGCAGTGACCTGCCCGTGTGGCTGGTGGGGCTCCCTCTGCCCACAGCCCATCAAGTGTGGCATCTGGGGTGACATGCTGTCTGGAATAATTATCCTGTCTTGAAGAAGGCCCTCTCATGGCACACCAGTGCCCATGGAACTTGGGGCACTCTAAGCCACTTTCACTGGTCATCCCGCCAGTTTCCACAAACGTTTTGTGTTGGTTTTGCCCTAATGGTTAGTGCAGATATAATGTGAACGCTTACCAGAGCTGCTGAGGTTTATGGAAGGAAACATATCACTTAAAATAAAGATGGGATTTTTCCAGAATCTAATGGTGTACATCAGTGGGCTCAGACTCAAATAGGAATGGATGCCACTAATCCACACGCAAGGATTCCCATGGTCTGCCTGTTGACTTAGTTTTAAAATGTAATATTGTCTATATTTTCTTGTATTTTTAATTATTTTGTTAAACATTTTCCAATTACATTTTAAACCAATTTGGGCCTCGCTTGGGAGTGTGGCCTGTGTGTTTGACACCTCTCTTGTACATCCAAATTATCCATTTATTCATCATTCCGTAGTCTTATGTACTTCCCCCGTCCCTACTCGCCCCCTCCAAAGAAGGCATAGCAGTTGGAGTTCCGTGATTTTTGTTGTTCACTCATTTCAGCCGTGTCTAACTCTCTGTGACCCCATTTGGGGTTTTCTTGGTAGAGGCACTACAATGGTTTGCTATTTCCTTCTGCAGCTCATTTGATAGATGAAGAAACTGAGGCAAATGGGGTTCAGTGGCTTGCCAGGGTCATACTACTAGTAAGTGTCTGAGGCCAGATTTGAACTCAGGAAAATGAGTCTTCCTGACTTCAGGCCTAGCACTATATCTACTGCAGTGCCACCCAGAGAAGTAGGATTAGGAGGGGAGCAATTCTGTCTTTTGTGGGGGAGCCAGGGTTTGGCTCCTTGGCTTTTGATTTTGAGCTCGGTTTGGAATGGTTAATAGAAGAGGCAAACAGGGAAAATGTACCCTCTTAGAAATGGGAATTAACACACTGCAACCCATTACAAAAGAAGGATCACGCAGGGGTGGTGGAACGGATGTCATCAGAGAAAGAAACGCCAGGGGAAATAGGAGCAGCTAGACCTTGAGTGACCAGCCTGTGTGCTCTGCTGGTATCTTTGCAAGGTCAGGAGATGAGAGGAAGGCCTACGGTACATTTGTGGACCACTGATGGAGATGCAGGTGACGTTGCATGGGTAGGTATGGTTGGGTTTCAGTATCCAGCAGTGAAGGGACTATATACATTGATGAGATCTCAGATCCATCCAGATTTGAAGTAATGTATACGAGGCACTATTTGAAGGGCTGCAGGGGTTGCAGAGATGAAGAAGCCACAATTCTGGCCTCAGGAATCTTCTAATTGGCCAGGAAAACGAGGCAAGACAGAAGTAAGTGTAATTCTAGGCAGAAGTTTTGGAGTGCCAGTGAACTAGGATTTGGTAGTGGGGCTGAAAGAGAAGGGAGAAGTAAGGCATTATAAAGTAGAATGGACAGGTGGATGATGAAGTAGATGATATAAAAATGATGATACCATGAGTAGAAATTAGGAAGTCAGGGGGAGTATTTGTTCTTGAGATAAAAATGATGAGAGTTCAAGGTTCCTGAGTGGTGGGTGATACTTGGAAATGCCCACCAGTCAATGGGAACAGCAAATGACGATAATTTGTGACGCTTAGTGTCATGGATTCTTGGAAGAATCTTCATAATGTTGACAATGTCACTGATGGCTGTTCCCCTGCCGTTCTGGGTGTTTCTAGCGATCAGCAGCGGGCCATGCTTTTTCCCACTGATGTTTCCCTGTTACCTCCTAGTGATTGGTTGGTGCTAGTTTCTCCTCCCACTGATGCTGAGAGATGGGGTAGAAGTGGCCATGCCAGATGTTGCTGCTCCGGCCTTGAGTCCAGGACCAAGGGAAGATCTGAAAAGCTCATCACTAGGCTTGTTACCAAGTGGTGATTCCTTTTGCAGATCCGTAGACTTTCAAAGACCGTCTACTAAGATCTGAAAGGTTGTGGTTTGTGTCTGTGGAGGGAGACCCACCATGGCCAACCTGGGACCCTTGGGTCTTTGATGTTTTCATCTGAACTAGCCCAGAAACAATGTCATTTTCAGTAAATACTTCATCTTCAACTTTCTTTTAGGTCATGATGCAGAGCCGGCTAGCGTTGCAGAAAACCAAGCTGTCCATTTATGTGGAGTCACCGTTAGCAGCCACCTGTGATCGCTTCATCTTTGACTCCTTAGGTGAGTTCCCGTTGCTGTGTCTCGTCTTCCAGGGAAGCTTGTGAGCTCTTGACGTCGGGCCGGGCTTTGTAGTTTGCTGTCTGCGGAGCCCTGAACGCGGTGCTCAGAGCTCAGAGGCTGATGGACAGTGGGGCCAGCCCCGAGCTGAGCAGGAATCCTCGGCGTCATGTCTGACCAGCTACCATCTGGGCTCAGTGAACGCCATCGGTGAGCAGGAGCTTCAGCTCCTCCCTCCGATTGTTAGGAAGCGTCTGCTCCCCTTCTGCTGATCTGCCCCTTGTGCCTTCTGTGCTGAAGCCAAGCTCAACAGATGTGATCCTTCTTCCATACGAGGACCCTTCACACACGTGGGGACAGCTGTCCTGGTCCTGTCCATCCTATCCCTAGGCGCATCTAGTTGGCAGAGTGGGTGAAATGCTGGGCCTGGAGTCAGGAAGACCAAAATTCATATCTGGCCCCGGCAAGTGCCCTAGCTTCTGGCTGACTTGGTTTCCTCACCTGTAAAGTGGGGGTAACGACAGCACCCACCTTCTAGGGTTGTCATGAAGCTCAAATGAGATGATCGATGTAAAAGCATTTAGCATGGTACCTGCACACAGTAGGCCTCATGTAAATACTTCTTCCATTCCCTCCCCCTTTCCTCAAGTCTCTTGTCTTCAAGCTAAACATTTCCAATGCTTTTATCTGAGTCCTTCTCAAAGGACTCAGTTTCATATCCTAGCCCCTTCCCAGTTCATCGTCCTTGGGGGCCTTTGCTTCTGTTTGCCAGCGTCCTGCGGAACTGAAAGAAAAGCTCCACCGTGGAGAACACAGAACTGGTTCCTTCTTTATTCTGAACAGTTAATCCTTTATGAATGCAGCCCGATTAGTTTAACGCATGCGTCCATCTGTCTTCGCTGCCTGGTCATCCTCACCAATCTGTCTGGCACTCACGGCTCCGCCAGCCCTCGTGCGCTTTTCACTTGGCCTCACGTCTCCTCATGTCACTCCCCGTCCTCAACTTGTACAGTTGATTTTAAAAATCCTAAACGTAGAGTTTTATGTCTCTCTTATTGGGCTCTGTCTCATTAGACTTGGTCCATCATTGCAATCCAACTTTGTCATTTGAAATGTAGGCTGTCTGTCCCAGGCTGGTCAGGCCTTTGTCACGGACGCTGACCGTAACACTGACCTGATGCTCTTTGGCCGATGGCAGACCTTGTGGTGTTCTGATAGAGACTTTCCTCCATGAGGACAAGTGCCCAGGAGTTCCTTTTAAGTTGTGTGCAGCAGGGCCTGGTCCTGGGTCCGCTGGGCCGCCATCAGTTGTGTGCCCAGACGGCAGTTACTTAATCCTGGCATCCTGCTCTAAGATGGGAGCAGTTGTAGGGTGGCTGTCTTGGGGATAAGCCTTGGTGCCTTGCGGGTCCCTGGCCTGGAGATGTGCTAACTCGTGTTCCCTGAATCCCTGGGGTTAGGTGGGATTCAGGAGTACCTGTTACCCGTGGCAGTCCGTGGAGTTCACTGCCAGAATCACAGAATCCCTTCTGGGTCCCTCCGGTAGAGCTCCTACCCGAAGAGACTCCCCGACTGAGCTTCTCTTGACCCCCTCCAGTGGGCGCCCGTGACGCCCAAGGAGCTTCCCTTGCTGTGCTCGGAGGGTTTCAGATGTAGTTTTTCCTTGAGTCAAGTGTCCACAGCTTCTCTCTTGTGATTCTCATTCAGAAGTCAGAGCGAGAAGTCGCGGCAGTCTTTCCCGTGACGGTCCTTGAAGCAGTTGTTAGTAGCTCTCACGTGCTTTCTGTTTCCTCTTCTCCAGACTAATGGTCCCCAGTTCTTCACTCCACCTTTGTGGGCATAAAGTTGAGGCCCTTCACCATATCTGCCGCCATTCTCTGTGCGTCCGTGAGATGAATAATCAATCAATCCACGAGCATTTATTCAGCGCCGGCTGTATGTCAGACACTGGGGACACACGTGCAAACAAGGAAGCCATCCCTGCCAGTCAAGAGCGTCTGCTCTTGGTGAGCTGGAGACGGTGCTTCCGGTGGGGTCTGACCAGGACAGAGTGCAGGGGGCTGGAAGCTGCCTCCACTCACTGCCTCCGCTTCCTTTCTGCTTACTGCCAGGCCCTGGAGTTCTGTCTTCTACCTCAACACTCAACTGAACTGTTCTTGTCAGAGGATCTCATGTATCCTTCGTGGCCAAATTGGATGACCTTTTTTTTTTTTCCAATCATTGTCTTTGACCCCATGACAGCACCGGACACCATTGACCACTCTCTCCTCCCAGAGGGTCTCTTGGTTTTCTGCCTCCCCTTTGCTAAATCTTCAGCCATATTCTGCTCCCTGGCTGTGAGGGGACTTCAGAGGCCCTCCTCTTTTCTGCCCCCACATTCTTTCTGGTGGTCTTGTCAGCTCCCACAAGCTTAATTTTCATCTCCTTTAGTTGACTCCCAGATCTCTTCCTTTAGCCCTGCCCTTGTCTTTGTAGCTCCAGCTTAGCATCACCAATTGCCTATTGGGTTTTTTGGACTGGATGTCCGATAGGCATCTCACACTTATCAGGGCCACATCAGATCTCATGTTTTCCCCACGCTTCCTTTTTCTGGGATGGGTACCACTGTCCTTCTTAGTCATCCAGGCATGCAACCTGCGTATCATCTTGGAACCCTCATTTCCTCTCATGCCACACATCTATTGCCATTTATTAGTATTTCTGCCTCTATAGCAAACCTCACTCATGTCCATGTCCATCTCTCCACTTGCATGTCTGCTCCCGAAGGCCCTGGTTACTTCTAAAGTATAGCAGCGGTCCCTAACTGGTCTCCTTGCCTTAAGCTGTACCCTCCTGCCTTCTGTCAAATGGATATTCCTTTATTATTATCATTATCATCACAATTGACGCCTCCTGCTTTGTGAGACCTTTATTTCCCTAAACATCCTTCTCCTTCCCTCATAAAAAGAATTAAAAAAAAAAAAGGAAAAAACCAGTTCAACAAAAATGACCAGTGCATCGGCCAGGGCCCACTGGCTGTGCCCTGTCCCACGCATACTCAAGGAGAGACGAGGCACACGCTTGTTGCTTTGCAGAGCTTAAACTGCCACAGAAACATGGCGTGTTGCTGGTTGGTGCCAAGTTCTCGTTACAGTTTGGATTGTTTTTATTCTGTCCTTTCATATTGTTCTAATCATTCTGTCTGTTATTTTCTTGGTTCTGTTTCTTTGCTTTTGTGTCATTTCACTTAAGTCTTCTTCTGCTTCTCTGTGGGTTTTTTTTTTACATTCATTGTTTCTGGCAGCCTGATTTTATTTCACGATATTCAAGTATCATAATTTGTTTACTTCTCCCAATCAGTAGGTCCAAAACGATATCCCTAAAACATTAGTTTGAGCCCGTCACTGCCGTCCTCAGAAAGCTCCCATGGGCTCCAGGATCAAATTCGAACTCTGCTCTGTTCTGTGTTCACGTCCTGGCTTTGGTGGACTGTTCTCGCTTTGCTGTTAATCAGCCCATTTTACACACTCTTTGGTCAGGCCAGACAGGTTTGCTCTGCCTCCTTTCTCGATGCCTTTGCACTGGCCAGAAATGCCTTGTCTCCCTGTATCCATTGTGGGAAATCTGTTGTTTCTCTGAGCTCAGCTCAGACTCCACCTTCTGCATGAATCCTGTTCTAACCTCAGCCTCCCTCTCCCTGTCCTTCCCTCACAGCTGCCTCTGTGTCTCCCACCAATTTCCTTGTATTTATTTTGTAAATACTCATTTTATCTATATCTGTCTCTCTTCCCTTAGAGAATGAGGGCAGTGCCCTTGTTTTAGGAGAGGGAAGAAACACCAGCAAATTCCAAGGCTGGACCACCGCCCACTCTGCTCCCCTCCGTCTCCTAGAGTGGGGTTGTGGATTATGAGGGTAGTGTTGATGTGAATGGGATGTGCTCTTTTCTGAGTCACCCAGACACAGCACTTTTTCTGGCAAATTTTCCTCCTGGGATAATTGACTTGGAGAAGGGGTCTCGGAGGCCATTGAATCCAACCCGTCATTTTACAGATGAGGCAACCGAGGCACAGAAAGTTGAAGGGACTTGTCCAGGGTGACTTATCTGACACTTTGCTTTTTAATTCAGGGCACAGTTAAAGTATACAAAAACCACAAAGGACTTTTAGGTAGAGCCTTAGTAATAATGAATGAAGCCAGTTACATGGCACCAGGAGATGATGGACATTTCTGAACACTGACAATAATCTAAGTGGCAAAACCTTTGTGCTCTATGAAGTGAGATGGGAATAATTCCAGTACGGCCCCTGGGTTTCTCTAGAGGCCCACGGCTTGGCCTGATATCCAGAGAGGGAACATTGCCCTACAGAGCCCCAGTGTATAGTTTACCTGAGGCAGACCTACTTTGCAGAGCCTGCTTTGTAGTGAGGAGTGGATAGTGAGGCCTTGAGTGTAGCTGTCAGGGTTCTGGGTCAGGAGCTAAATTCTTCCCTTTGGATGTTTTTTGAGCTTTCCTGCAGGTCAAATGACTGAGTTCTGCTCTTGACAAGGAATGAATGTCTTGAGTGTGCTTTTCAGTCATCTCCCCATCTCCACGGACATTTGGCCTTTCAATGTGACTAGTTCCCTCTGGGTTTCTGGTTACTTTGAGACAGACATATTTAAAAGGATCATCTAACTTTTGGACTCCATTGTACCTTTCAGACAATAGTATGTGTTGTCATTTCCTGTCTCTTCCACGTTTTAGAAGGGCATCTAGAGAAATTCGAGGAGAAAAAAGCCTGTTAGTCCTCTTAATTTTGAATACTGGAAAATGTGTTGGCTCTATCCAAAAGCCTCATTTCATTTCTTTACTTTTCATTTCTTTTTTTCCTTTTTCTTTCCATTGCTGCAGAGCCAGAGATTCTGAAAACCATCAGCTTGTCTGTGTTTCTGAAAGGAAATTACCTGCCTTCAGAACTGGAAGGCACTGCCATGGCCTCATATAGCATGCCCACAGGTAAGCTGGGATGTCCCAAAGAGACTCCAAAGTCTCATTTAGCTTTTGAATGAATAGTAGGAGGGATTAAAATGCTGCTCAGGAATACATTAGGGAACTGCTTTATACATACATACATACATACATACATGTGTGTGTGTGTGTGTGTGTGTGTGTGTGTATACCCCCATCTTAATGATGAGGAATCTTAGCAGTGACGAATGATATGATTTTCCCGAATCACTGAGTTAGTATTGTAGGTGGGATTTGAACCCAGGTCCCTTCAGCACTCTCTGTTTCCGCTAGCTTCTCTGTAGCATGCTGCCCCCCAATTCCACGTCCCTTATGTACAGATGTGCACACACACATACACATTCCTGTACACGAGTGAAGGCAGTGATGCGGCTGTTAACATGAATTTGCCAGATCTAATGTTTACATTTAGAGAAAAGCCAATCTCCTCTCTTTTTCCTCATAGGAAAAAAAAAAGATTGCTTCAGGGGAGAAAAGACTCCTCTGAAATTGTAAACGTCTTAATTGTGACTTTAAAATAAATGTAATGCTGACAGGTAGCCACAAGGGGGCATTAGAAGACATGAGCCCATGGCGAGACGCTGGGGCCTACGCTAGATTTCCCGTTGCCTGCTTCAAAGTTGGCTGCTTTTTTGTGCCCTATAACTGTTTCTGGAGCCCCACTACCACTACTGTCAGAACCCCAGCACGTAGGCCAGGGAGCACCCTGAAACTGGGAAGAGATAATTGTCCTTTATATCTCACCACTGGAAAGGCCTCTTCCAACTTTGTGCTCTTAATTTAATTGTGTTGTTGTAAACTTCAGACCCTTCCAGAGTAAACTTTCACCGATTTTGCATTAGTAGAGTCTGATTTAATGAGATTTTTACAGATGTAGTCAACTCTGTTACTTAAGGATGAGTTATTTGCTCTATGTAATAGAGCAAATATTCTCCATTTTGCTGCCCTACTCACTTTTTCACTAATAATTAACACTTTCATAAAGAAAATCGGCAGTGGAGAGAGAGTGGAACTCTGTTTACTTGGGATTATTCATTAACTAAATAAAATAGTAGGGTGGGGCTGAAACGGATTACTTCTGTGAGAGACCTGGGTTATTTGTGGACTTCTTCTGCATTAGTATTTGAGAACCAGAGTGGTGCCTTGTGAATGATGTAGTGTCTATGGGATAGTCTGAGTTTAGCTTGTTTCTGTAAGCTGATAAATATTAGATTTGTTTTGTACTTTTACACAAGATAATTTAATTTACTGTCTTGTGTTTCCTTTTCCCCCACCCACTTTTCCCCACCTTCTGCCTCTGATTATAGACCTCAATCCAGATGGTAAGTGAAAGGAGACTTTTAAAAAAGTGAATATCACAATGGACACTTAGTTGGGCAACAGATGCAGTACTGTGCGACCATACACGTGTAAGCACTGTAGCTTGTAACTTTATGGTTCTTGAGGATGCTGCTTTGCCTAGATTCTTCTGGGCACAGGATTATAGACTGTGGGAAAGAATGGGGGCAGAAATTTGAGAAGAGAATCATTTTAGAAAAAATTAAAGAAATAATCCAATTACTCCTTTCTGGAAAAAGTAAAACAAAAATTTTGAAAATTATAAAAATTTATATTTGCCGATTGTTTGCCTGGATCATTGTTGGCTTTGCTGTGTTTGGGAAAATAGTCATTGGAAATTGAATCCTCAGGCATTTCCTGTGCACATCTTTGCCTTAATCTTGCCTTTCATAGACCCAGGCTTACTGCACTGCCGTGTACTCCCCTGCCATTGCCTGACTTGGCCGCAGAAGCTCCCTCTGGAGGTCACGCCATCCCAGACCCTTTAGAGCAGGGGTGGGGAGTCTGCAGCCACAGGTGGCCTTGAGGCCTCAGGTTCCCCACCCCTGCTCTAGAGTTTGGGAGATCCTTCTGAAGTTCAGACTCACTGACTTTTAATATTCCTATTTAAAACACACATTTCTTCGTGTCAGCGAGCGTTTATAAACCGAAGCATTCTGAACTTCATTGTCACAGAATGGTGCTGAATGTTGCTTAGGTATTTTTTCTTTCAAAGTTTTTTTTAAAAAATGACTTAGAATATTCCTAAAGGATGCATTTTTACTCACTGTAGCTTCAGCTCTGCTAGTAGTGGGATTAAAATGCTAAGCAGGGACGAATTAGAAGATCAGAGCACCCGGGAAATGCCCCTTTGTACTTGTCAGTGGGATTGTACACTGAGGCTGCGTGCCCTTCTGGACTCTGATCATGGGATGAGACCGAAAACAGCCTATGTTTATGTGAAGAACAGTGTGGACTAGCTGTTTTAACAAATGCAAAGCTAAATACGACCATCTTCTTCTGTCCTTCTCACCAGGTAGTTTAGAAACATAATTAAATTTTGGGAAGTAAAGTTTAAATGCTCAAACCAACCCAGACAACAGGCGGTAAGACGTTGCTTATTCGCCTATTGCACACACACAGGGTTTTGTATTTCAAAGACTGAACCCTTTCAGAGGCCTGAGCTGTTCAGTCTGTGGTAGAGCCAAATAATCCTGCTTTGGCAGGAGGAAGGAGAGAATGTAACGGAGGCTTTAAGTCGTCCCGTAAGAGTTATTTGCCATTTTGGGGCCATTAAAGTTACATGACGTGGACAGTGTAGAACATGACTCTGGATGAAATACGGTGACCCGTGGGAAAATGCAGAGGTGCAGAGGGTCTGGCTTCCAGACGGTGCCACTGGGGCTTTGTGCCTTTTGTTTTCAGTTCAGAAATCCTCCACCTTGCCCCTCCAAGCGGCTTTCGGAGGTAGGGAGATCATGGACGTATGAACGTATACCAATATCTACATACACATGTTCAGATCCCTGCATGTGATACACAGTGCACATATAAAATACCGTGATGTGTCTGTCAATAGATACATTACATACATTTATATACACATACACATGTATATGGAGATAGGGAGACATCGATACCTAAACAGCAGAAAGGTACACACATCTCTCAGTTAAGATATATGGCCGCCTCAGCCATACACATCCCTGCCTGCAAACGTGTGTGTGTAGGTGTGTGTATATACATCTGAATATATCTAAATGCATAGAATTGATATGTAATATATACATGTATACCATTTCATGTTTTAATATGCAATATTAATATATTAATAAATGCTTGATTATAGTTTCTTATAGGACTCCAAAATATTTCAAATGCTAGGTCCAAATCCCTTATAAAGGCTTCATATGTTGTATATAATATATGTGTATATATATACACACCTATATATGTACATGTCTTTCTCTCTCTGTTTCTCTCTCTCTGTCTCTTACTTTCTCTCTTTCTCTATCTTTCTGTCTTTCTCTCTCTCTTTCTCTCTCTCCACCTCTCTTTCTCTGTCTTTCATCCTTTCTCTATCTTTCTCTCTTTCTCTCCTTCTCTTTCTTTCTCTCTTTGTCTCTTTCATTCTCTCTCTCTTTCTCTCATTCTCTCTCTCTCTCTCTCTCTCTCTCTCTCTCTCTCTCTCTCTCTCTCTCTCTCTCTCTCTCTCTCTCTGTCTCCCTATTCTCACTTGCAGTTATATATATTTTTCAGCAGTTTTCGGATCTGTTTCCTATTTGACAGTGATATTGGGCTTAAGGAAGTAACAGATGTAATTACTATTTTGCTTCAGGAAAAAAACATTCTGTCTGAAGATAATTTAGATGTTCATTTTCCCCACTGTGTTAAATAAGTGGGTGATGATTGCAAGCTATGCTTCTCTATCTGTGCTTGGAAGAAAACTGTTGGGGTGTTCAGTTGTGATGATATCGGGGGAGAGGTTCAGTGCTAAGCACAATTAAGTTTTTGGGAAAAAGTCCCTAGCTGAGAAAATGAATTGACTCCATTTTTTTTCTCAGGGCTGCTTTAAGAAACTTAGCCACCCCAGTTAAAAAAAAATCTTTTTTTTTTTTCATTTAAATCATGTATCTAATAGGGAGAAGAAACACTTAATTCAGGAAAACAAATACCACCTGGCTGTTTCCACTAAGGGGAAAGCCACCATTATGGCTGCTTTCAAAAGGTTCAGTTGCATTAGATTTCCCTTATGTTTGGCTCCTTCTGTTGAGCAGAACCAAAGTTTCCAGGTTCTAGGTTCTGTCAGAAGACAGAAAAGAATCCAAATGTTGACAGCAAGCTGCAATGTTAACAGTTCAATTTTCTCAAGAAAATGGATTTTTGTGAGGTGTAGAAGCTGACAGAGATTGTACCCAAGAGCTTTAGATCTAGCATTGAAATGCTTTGGTGTTCTGTAAGGTGCCATAATCAATCATTCAGTAATCCTCCAGTATTAATTAAGCACCTACTATGTATGTGCCAGGCCCTTTGCTCACAGCTTGGGCTACAAAGACAAAATGAACCAGTCCATTCCCTCCTGGGGCTTCCACTCCATTGGGCCATGCTGCTTTCTGAACTGTTCTCTGGAAGCTGGGATTTTTGTGTGGCCAAAATTGGCTGATTTTCATGCTGGCATAATTAAAAAAAGACAAACCAACTCATACAATCATTTAATTAACTATTAGCCTTATCATTTAAAAAGATAATATTTTAAAACAGTTTTTCACATAGGCTGGTGATCTGAGAGGAGGAAGAAATTTTGGGGGAATTGTGCACATCCTGAATAATTAAAAACCTTCGATCCCATGAAATTTGCTCCTTGAGAACAGGGACTGTCTCTTTTGTGTGCTTCCCCTGGAGCTTAGAATTGAGGTTTAATAAATGATTGATGATTGATTAATCAGTTACCTTCATGTGTGAGATCACTGGATCATCAGATCATAGATTTAGAGCTGAAAGAGACCTCAGAGGCCAGCGCCTTCATTTTTACAAAGGAGGCAACAAAGACTGAGCAAGGGCAGTGACTTGCACAGGGCCACGCAGCCAGTGTTAGAGGCAGGTTGGGAGCCAGGATCTTCCTACCTCTAAGTTCAGTACGTGAACTATAGGATCATCTAGGATATCACCACGTTGTAATGTCATTAACTGGCTCGAACGGCCACTTGACTTGAGTCATTATCTCTTCTTTTTTGGTTTTTAGGTTCCTTAAAATCTGTTTCTGTATATTTCTCTGCTCACATGCTTCTGGAATCTGTGGTTTTACCAGTGTGGATACCGGTGCTTAAACCTTGCCCCCTCTGTCACGTAGTAACTTGTCAGAGGGTTTCCATGGCTAGAACCTTCTTTCCTCCCTGCTTTGAACCCCACCTCTCCCCCGCATCCCACTGCCAGTGGCTTTAACATGAGCCTCTCTGGACTCAGCAGAGCTGACCTTTGGGCAGCAGCCTCCGCCTGGGGCCCTGCTCCAAGCTCATCCCTGCTCGGTGTGACGTTCTAGAGCTGGTGAGCCAACCGTGTTTCCACAGCATGCAGCATCAGAGAAGTTCCTTTCTGTACCTAGATCTTCTTTCTCTAAGGGTTTGGACCCTAGGGGTTTGGATTCTTAGCCATTGAGAGAAGTACAAAGCCTGGCTTCTTGCTTATGTCAGCCCCTCATTTCTGAACCAAAGATCTAGACAAGTTGGAGTTGACCAGTCTTAGCCTGAGGTGGCACAGTGGATACAGTACTGGGCCTGCAGGCAGGAAGACTCATCTTCCTGAGTTCAGATCTGGCCCCAGACACATACTAGCTGAGTGACTCTGAGCAAGTCACTTCACCCTGTTTGCCTCAGTTTCCTCATCTTAAAATGAGCTGGAGAAGGAAATGGCAAACCACCCCAGTATCTTTGCCAAGAAAACCTTAAATGGGGCCACAGAGAGTCGAACATAACTGAAAAACACCAGAACAGCGAGTGTCCCTTGCCAATTGGATTCTTGTATATGTTTTAATTTTTCCTAGTTTTTGAATAGCACTAACCTTTGTCTACATTTGAATAACTCCACATCCTGGGCCCTTTGGTTCTGATTTACTGTGCTCATGGATTGGCATATTGGGGGCTTCCTTCTGGAAACTTTATCCCATTGGTGATGGGAAAGTGGGAAAGCCTGGGCTGTGGTGGCCTTGGTGGAACTGACATGGCTGCAAAGGACAGCCATCATACCAACGCCCCTGGGCTGACGACCCTAGTACTGGACTGAGACATTGGCCGGGGAAAATTCTCAATTATCCATTGTGGTATCAAGTCTACAAAGTGAATAGGACAAAAAAATCCCATGTTTCAGAATTGTAGGGCCTTGGAAAAGCATCGCTTGATCCTCAAGAATTTGCACCCTGGTTTTTTTTTTTCTGATATTTCAGGTATCCTTCGAATTGTCCAGTGTAAATTCAGACTTCCCCTGAAATTAATATGCTTGCCCCATCAGCCTTCCAAAACAGCGAGTCACAAACTCACGATTGATACAAACAAGCCTCCTATCAGCCTTCTCAGCCTCTTCCCAGGTAGGCCTTTGGAAGCTCTGTGTGTGTGTGTGTGTGTGTGTGTGTGTGTGTGTGTGTGTGTGTAACATCGGAAATGTTAGGCATTTAAAATGGACTCCCCTCGTCGGTGAGCAATGATAGGGTAATTATAAGATAATCACCAAGTCAGCATAGAAGAATTTCTCAAGGATTCGTCCCGCCCCTCTTCATTTTGCCTGGTCAAAGGTGTAGCTTATATCAACAAAGTAATAACATGTGGCTTTTAAGTTTGATTCAAAATATTTTAATGATTATTTTGCTTCACCACTCAAAAATGAAAACATCAAATGTGTCTTTAGAGATGGCAGGCTTGCTTTGCCTGGAATGTAAATATTTATTCTTCATCTTTATGGTAGGAACATAAAATAAGCCCCCTTTCTAAGTATGCCCTTATGCCCCAGGTGAGTAATCCTAGAAATGGGCGCTCTTGGGCATGCTGATGCTTCCAGCATCTGGAACAGGAACATGTTTGTTCCTTGGCCACCGAAGACTGGGACAACTCTGGGATGCCCAGTGTTGCTTTGTGAGTACGAGGGGGATTGTGGCAGAGCCCACGGGGGGCTAACGCTTCTTTCCCAGCAACTCAGCACAGCTAGTCCTGGGGCAACTTCGGCTGAGTGACAAGGATCTGTAGCAGCCCCCCATTCCTAAGCCACCACATGTATCTGCTTTTTGGGGAATAGTGTGGAATTTTGAAAAAAAAAAAGTCTGCTGATTTCATCAACTTCATATGCCCCCTTAATAAACCCAGCTTTGCTACCTCTGAGATGCAGCCTCAGCCTGGCCTTTGTGGGTAGGATTCAAAATACAAAGTATACTTCCTACAAGGTGTTAGAAATATTGTGGTAAGTCAAGATTTGTGTAATTAACTACTTAAGAGTACTTAAACTTTAGTTTTGATTGTTTTGCAAGGTATTTCCATAGCTCTTACTTTTTTTTTCAATACATTACCTTACAAATATCTCCAGATTCGGCACCTTCCATAAAGAATGTTTAATTTTTGATCTTTGTTTTCTTTGGGGGGAAAGAGAAGGTGTTTGTGTTTGCATGATTTGCATTTTGAAGCTTTGTTTACTTTGTTTTTGGATAACTGGAGCCAGATTGGCACTCTTTACCAAAGGTAGATCTGTGGAATTAATTTGAAAGTCAGAGTGATGGCTGTCTTCCGTATTCGTCATTTATCGTTAACAAGTCCCTTGTACAGCCAGTCACTGTCTTCCCCTGGAAGTAGAATTAGAAATTGAGTTGAATAAGATGCTGGAATTTTGTGGATGCTCAGATGATTTGCTTTGGCCAAGTGTCTTGTTCCTGGGCGTTTGATAATTATATTTCAAAGTGATGAGGTCCAGTGGATGGTTGACTCAAAATGCCCGTCCTTGAAGAGGGAGGTAATGATATAAAATAGGCTCCATCTTTCAAGCTGAGCAGACCTTTAATGACTCATTGTTTTCTGAGGGATAGAATTATAAAGCACTCTAGGTCAAACTGAGATCTCCTGGCTGCTTAGTGAGGGCGTAAACTGGAGAAATCTGACCCATTCTTCCCAGACTCGTACGTTTATGCTGCCCAGTCAACCCCTTGGGGAGGGTGCTTGGTTTGATTTCTGTAGCAAACACATGAGCTGAGTGTCAGTCAAGACCCCGGAAGTGTCAGTATTGATGGGGCCATAGCTTCTTAGAGTACATGACTGTGAGAAAAATCCAGCGTGCCAACTTATCAGAGGTTAGACTTTTCTTTGGAACGGGCTACCCCAGGGACAGAGGTCCTGAGCAGAAAGATCCTTGCCATCGGGGACCAGAGAGGTCTTGGGATTCTCTTTAGGTGAATCTGAGGTGATCTGGTAAATTCCTCTACTCAATGGCCTAATTAGGGCAACAGTGACTGATGAACTTCTTGGTGTGGTCTAACTTGAAATGTATTTAGAAAGTTAAATGAAATACATTAAGCAGTGTGAAGGAGGTTGAGGCATTCCCACTTTCTAGAGAAAGACAAAAGCCTGAGAAATGATTTAACTCTATATTCCTTTAATGTCTGGAAGCTCTTTTCTGAGAGTTCTCGGCATATCAAATATGAAGAGGTTTATTTTCATATTTAAAATTGATGAACAAAGAATTAGAAATACCACACCAAATATTTACCTGGTCCCTGTAAAAGCTGGAGCTCACCATGGTCTTTCTTTTAGTGTTTACTTGAACATTGAAGTGTTTACTTGAAGTTGGTTGATTTGGAAAAAATGTGTTGACCCAGTGCAATAATACCAAAAAATCACCCAAATAAAAATTCTAAAAAATTCAGTTGAGTACAAGGCATATTTAACTCGATATCTCCTTAGGTCCCTGCTGATGCAGAGAGACTTTTGTCTTCAGAGCCTTAAGGCCAGCATTCCTGGTTTCTGCCTAGGGTCAGATCCATTCCAGGGATGCCTGTTCCTAAGGATAGTCTTTCTCAGCCATGAGGATCAAGACAACTTTCGTCAACCTGATTTAGCCAGAAAATGTTAGAGTAGTGAGATCAATAGAATGGTACCTTCTCAAAGAAATTCAGTTCAATCCAACATGTACTTATTATGTGCCACTATTTATTGTGCATTACAGCTGTGTGCTGGGGATTACAAGTATATTAGGGGATGGGAATAAAGAGAAAAAATGGACCAAATTCTTGCCTCAAGGAGCTTGCATTCTACTGGAAACTAGAAATTAGAATGGCCAACCACTGATATACGAATAGGGTTTCATAGACCACACACAAGAAGCCCAGCTCGGGTAACCGGGCTTTCCTGAGAAGGTAGCAGAAGACTAGACCGTTTTCCTTTTGTGACTTGGATTTAGCCAGCATTGAAATGCCTCTCTGTGCCCTCTTTTCCTTTTAGGCTTTGCTAATCAGTCTGATGATGATCAGGCAAACGTGCTTGGATTTCGCTTCATAACTGGCTCCCAAGTCACCGTCCTTGCATCCAAGACCTCCCGTAAGTCAAACTGAATTGCTGTTGCTATTTGAGGCTGACAAATGAAGTGTCTGAGTCTTGACATGTTTTGTGGAAAATTGGTGGTAAAGAGTGGGTCAAGAGGAGGGAGCATGGCGTCCTAGAAGAGGCGGTGACGCTGGAGCCGGAGGTCATCCTGGGTGGTGATCCACATCCCGGATCTGTTGTTGACTTGGTGTGTGACCTCGGCAAGGCAAGTGACCTGTTTCCTCCTCTTTACCAGGACAGTGGGGATAGGCAGAACGCCCCTCCCTGGCCACCCCACCTCCCCGTCAGTGTCTCCTCCAAGTGGGATGGGATTGGAGGCTCCTTGAAGGCAGGGACTCCTGTTGCTTTTGCATCTTTATCCTTAGTTTTGATGCCTAGTCAGTGCTTAATGAATGCTTGTTTACTCATTCATCTCTTCCAGCTCTGAATCCACTAGAGAGTGAGTGGGGCACCTTTGCTAGAGTGGGGAAAACGGGTCCTAGCACTCAACGCTCTTCAGGCGTTCCAGGCCCTCCCGGGGCTGCATTCTGTCATGTCGTGTCTGGCTGTCGAGGCTCTGCGTGGTTTCCAGACAAAGACTTGCTGGGATCCAGAGGAGCCTGGTGCCTCGTGCCTCTTGCCTCTTGCCTTGGTTCAGCTCCTTCCACGGCTCTTCCTTCCCTCGGCGCTGCCTTGTTCTCTACCATTTTCTTGTTCTTTAGGACGACGGGGTCCCACGTGCCCACTAAATGTTCTGTTGAAAACTTTTTAACAAATGGAGCAGGGTTGGTTTCTGATCCTGTCTGCGTGCTTCATTCCCCTTGGTAATGCTGTATACAAGATCTTTACCTGAGAGTGGAGAAAGCAAAGAGAAGAATAGTTTGTACATTGTATAGATGGAGATTATTTTACTGAATTACATGTATTATTTCATTTTAGTGGGATAAAGGCAATTTAAAATGATTTGTAGGACATTTGTGTTTCCATGGACATTGTCTGCATTGGACTAACCATCTGGATATTTGGAACCTTCAGATGATTGGCTAGACTTTTAATTTTCACTCCTGTATGTTTAGAATACCTCAGTAGAGCTTTAGTGTAGGTCCAGCTTAAGGATGAGAAAGCATCCCTCTTTAAAAAAGCAACTTTGCCTCTATGTACTCACCTCATCCAAGAGTGCAGTCCTAATCTTCTTCCATGCTTCAGGTCTGGCATTATTTCTTTAATGTCATCTACTGTATGTGGGGCCACTGGAAGTGAGCTGCTAGGTGGTGCGGTGGATAGAGTGCCAGACCTGGAGTCAGGAAAACCCATCTTCCTGAGTTCAGATCCAGCCTCAGACACTAGCCATGTGACCCTAAATCAAGTCACTTAACCCTCTTTGCCTCAGTGTCCTCATCTGTAAAATGACCTGGAGAAGGAAATGGCAAACCACTCTAGTATCTCTGCCAAGAAAACCCCACATGGGGACACAAAGAGTCAGACACAACTGAAAAATGACCCAGCAACAATAAGGGGCCTTGGGCAGTGAGGTTGACTTGGGTTTGCTATTGATCAATTTCTGTCTCTTCCTCTAAGAATAAAATTGAGTTTTACAGACACTTTCTAATAGACCCATTGCTGCCTCATGAAGAGTCTTTCCTCTAAACTCTATAGAGTATCAATCCAGAAGGACTCAAAATACGCAAAGAAAGCAGGATCTTTTACACGAGAACCATTCAAGTCCTTTGTAAGTCAGAGAGAGTCAACTCTGGAGGTTGGTGCATGGGGTTGGCGGATCCTTAAAAGTCATCTGCGTCTAAAACCATGCTTGATATGTAGGCCAAGCTACGAGGGAGACAGATGGCAATTTTGGTTCAGTTTCCTGATTCACTGTGGACTAGACCGAAGCCGCCAAGTGGTAACACTGTGCAGTTGATTGTCTGAGGTATCGTATCATTAAGGGAGCCAAATAGCTTTTTATTGCCAGCAAGTGATAGACTTTCTAAGTTAATTGGAGCTTCTTACATGAATGTGAAAAAAAAGAGAGAAAGAGAAGCGTTGAGATCATGTCCTTCAGCCAGCAGACTGCTTTAGCCAAATTCCTCAATCCCCGTGTGTTATTCCCAAGTTGAAGAAGCAAAGTCTGGCCTCAGCATCCTCCAGCTCACCAAACTTGGCGAGTCCCTGTTTCTAAAATAAAAAACAGCCTCGTCAGCCTGGCACTGAAGGGTGCAAACTACGTCTCCGTTTTTGTTCCTCTTTGCTCCCCTTTCTGTGCTCTGCAGTTCAGCTAAACCAGGCCTGTAGTTATTCCCCAAACTCTTCCCACTGGGCCATCTCCCACCTTGGAGGCGCCTCATGAATCCTAACTGTAGCCTTCATGTAATGCTACCTCTGAGTAGAGAAGGCCGGAGGCTGTAATTGTAGAGACAGCTGGTGGTGGTGAAAAGAATGTGGGGCCTGAAGTGCAGAGACCTTGGTTCGAATCTGGCCTGGGTGAGTCACAGTGTCTCAGAGACTTGGTTTCTGTATCCCTGAAGTGGGGATAAAGATGGCTGGTGGGCCTCCCTTTAGAAGGATAGGTTTAAGGCTTAAGTTATGTTTGTAGAGTGCTTTGTAAACAGCAAACCAGTGGATGAATGTCAAATATTATTGTCACTATTGTTACTCGTCATAATTCTAATGTCGAGAATCAGTCATGAGACAGAACAATTTGTTTGTCAGACAGTAAAGAGGAAAGGTTAATCCACCTGCGAAGGCAGGAAGGCGGGAAGGAATCAAGTGCTGACTTACAGCATTTGTAGACTCAGTGCCAGGCACTGGGCCCCAGGATCTCATTGCTTCTTACAACAGCACACACAGGTGGGTGCTTTTATCCCCATTTTACATTGGAGGAGTCTGAAGCCAACAAGTTAAGTGACTTGTCCAGGATGGGAGAGAGCCGAGGACGGGGACATGGCAGCTTACCTTGGGCCACGTTGTGGAGAGCCTTGAACGTCAAACAGAGGAGGTGATACTTAGGCCTCAAGGGATAAGAATTCACTGGAGCTGACTGAATCAAGGGTGACAGGGTCAGACCTACCTCTGCTTTGGGAAGATCACTTCTGAAAGCAGAGTAGGTGATCAGTTGGAGTTGGGGAGAGACCAGTGTGGGCACCGTGCAGTCACTGGGGCAAAAGGGCCTGAAGCTAGGGGTAGCCGTGTGAGGGAAGAGAAGGGGACAAGATAGATGCAAGGGATGCTGTGGCCAGATAATGGGGTGAGGTATAGGGTAGGCATGTATGTCGTATGTATGTGTGATATATGTGGCACGCATGTATATATTCATGTATGTGATGTGTATATATGTGTGTGCACGTGTGTTTGAAGCTCTCTTGGACAAAAGAGGAAAGTCTGAAGAAGGGGAGGCCTGTCAGGGTCTGGTGGTGACAGGCAGGCAGGGTGAATGACGAGACAGGAAAGGTAGCACCACTCTGTTCTAATTTGGCTTCCATTTTCTCTGCCAATGAGGATGATTGTGGGAGGAGAGAATGCCCATGGCCAGGAACGAGCTAATCGCCCAGATCAGTGAGCTGCTTGCCGCTCTGGGTGTATCGGGCTACCAGGCCCCGATCAGTCTCCTTCCCGGGTGATGGGACCATTGGGGCCCCAGGAACGACCTTTGGAAGTGCATGGATGATGGGAGCAGGGCTGCCGGGTGCATGCTGGGGCTTCCTCCAAGGGGAAAGCTCCTGAAATTGAAGAACATTTTACAGAAAGCGTGGGTAGTGAGCGTCTAGAAGAGGAGAGGCCGTGATGATTCCAAAGAAGCACAGTCAGCTGGAAGACCCTCGCTGCCTCTCCTGCTGTGCATGGCGACTCGGCGGGTGGATTGGGGGACGCTCCTTGGAGAGCTGACCCAGCCTTGCCCGGCCCTGGTGTAGAGAGGGAGACAACGTGCAGCCAGGTGGGGAAAGTCGTGGAGAGCTGTGAGCGGTGAGAGCAGGAAGGACTTCCTTGGTCAGGCAGGAGTGAAGCATCGATGGTTTGGAGCACTTTGGAGCGAGGGGGATTAGCTGTCCAGTGAAGGGTACGGTGGCCTGAGGGAGATGTGATGCGTTTTTCTTTTAATATGTACAGCATTAATAATTATTGCTTTATATGAATAGTATATGAGGGTTTTTATATTAAGATTGTGGTAGTGAGAATGGAAAGTAGATTTTGTCGGGATACAGTTGCTAAGAAGCGTTGAATGATTCAGCGAGGAGGCAAGGGAAATAGGGCTGTTAGATCTCCTTCTGAATGTTCGTGTGCTGATGACCTGAACCTTGGGAACGTGGGATGACAAAGTCAGCAGGTCTTCAGGGACCACAAAGCTGACCTGAAGGTTATAAAATGAAGTTTAACGGACAGCAGCATGAAATCCTGTTCTCTGATTTAAGAAATGCAGAGTTGGGCAGGGATACACCCTCCACCATTTGCATGAAAAGGATCTAGGCATGTTAGTGGACTTCCCACCCAACATGAGTATGACTTAGGCAAAGCATCAAACCAGCATGGAGAGGCATGGTGTCTAGAACAAGGGTGGTGCCAGCCCTCCTGCCCGCAGCCTCATGGGACCACACCTGGTAGATTATATTCCATTTGGGTGCGTGTTTTAGGAATGACCTTGACAAATTGGTGCCTCCTGAGTTGGGCCACTGGATCTCCTCAAGGCTAGAGAAGGGCCATTTGAAGTAATTTGTGATGTTAATTTAAGCCTGCAGAAGAGTTGACTTTCCAGGCTTCATTTGCTGTCTTTGAGCTGAGGAATAATGAACATAGATAATATTTACATTTGACCTGGCACCAGTGAAGACCGTAGAATGAGGAACTATTGCAGTGGTGGTTGTGGTGAATAGCGTAGAACAAGATGGTGGCTATGGGAATGGAAAGGGAACGAGAGAGAGTCAAAGGCAAAGTCACTAGGCCTTGGTGACTATTTTAACAGTTTGCTGAAAACTACCATGGATGGCAGTGAATGGTCAATGCAGGCCCCTGCTCCCTTCAGATGAGCATTTTACTCCATCTTTACAAGTACCATTGGGTTCTGGGTTTGAGAAGTCCATACATTTAATGGCACATTTTGCGGAGAGGCAAACATACTTAGAGGTTAGAATATACTTGTCAAGAGGATGCATTTCCTTCTGTTTCTCAGATTTAATTAATTCATTCAGCAGATATTCACTGAGTGCCTAGAATGTGGGAGGTACTGTGTTAGGCCCCCAGGGGCTGCAGACATTACCAGGAAAAGATAATCCCTCTCTATTCTCCAATTGAGAATGTAATGCAGAGTGATCCCACCCTTTCAGCTCTGTACCGAGGACCTTGAGAGGATGGTATTTTGTTGTGACTATGACCTGATGGAAGAGCAGCAGTGGTTGTTGCAAAGGTTCACTCAGTCAACAAATATTCATCTTGGGTCTGCACCTTCCAAGCCCTAGATCTCGGCTCTCCTTGTTCGAATACTCCTAATGGCTGACCTTTACATAGCGCTTCGTTTGTTGGTGTCGTCCAGTCCTTTCAGTCACGTTGGACTCTTTGAGACCTCGTTTGGGGTTGGCCGTTTCCTTCTCCAGCTCATTTTACAGATGAGGAAACTGAGGCAAACAGGGTTAAGTAGCTTGTCCAGGGTCACACAGCTGCTAAGTATCTGAGGCTGGATTTGAACTCAGGAAGTTGAGTCTTCCTGACTCCAGGCCTGGCCGTGCTCCCTAGCTGTCCATACAGCACTTTAAAGGTATACGCAAAACTCTTTACATGTATTCTCTCATTTGACCCTTACAGTAGCTCTGGGAGGTAGGTGCTATTATCATCCCCATTTTACAGTTGGGGAAACTGAGGCAAACTTTTTATTTTAAAGTGACTTACCCAGGGTCACAAAGCTAGTAAGTGTCTGCGGCAGGAATTTTAGGTCTTCCTGGCTGAGTCCCAAACTATCCCCTGTGCCACCTGACTGCTCCGTGCTGGTGTGATGAGGCGGAGAGGGCTGCTTCCCTCACCTTTTGGCCCCTCTCTCTGATAGATGAACATGCGTTTGTATGCTCTCTGTTCTTACTCTCAAGCTCCACCTTCCAAATTAATACTGTGAGGCCACATTCAGGCTGCGGCTGAGTTGAGGGGAATCATGTTGCCTGTGATCATTGGAGGCCAGGTGCTTCGATTGACCCAAATTGTCTCCAGAGGGCATTTCATTTTTCAAATATTTCTACGGGCCTGCATCATGGCTGCTCTTACCCGGTGTGATTCTGTCCCAAGATGCTCACTAAATGGAGCCTTCTCTGTAGCTCCTGGTGACTGCCCCCCTTGGGAGCCAGGTTGTGTGGTGGGGGCAGAAAACAGTCATCAAATGGCAGACATTTTTATAGAAGGCCAGTGGGAGTTGGAGCTGCTTTGGGAGGAGCAGGCAGGCGAGAAAGCTTCTGCTGACTGAGTTCTGGCACCCAGCCTCTAGATGACGAGCTGATGGCTAACGGCGTTTCTCCCCTCTCTCGGTGGCTGTTTTGGCAGAACGGTATCGGATCCAGAGCGAGCGGTTTGAGGACCTTTGGCTCATCACCAAGGAGCTCACTCTTCGTCTGCAGGAGCATTTCGAAAAGCAGGGAACCAAGGATTTCACTTGTTCTTTCTCGGGGTGCATTCCTCTGCAAGAATACTTTGACGTAATTGACCAGCACTTTGAGGTACGTCCGATGATGTTAAGTATGGTTACAATCATAACGTTCCTTCCGTTGTATGTGAACATGCATCTACCTCAGCTCGTGTTCAGCAGAGCTATAGCTTGAGTTATCTTTCCCGTAGGAATGGTGTGTTTATGTTGATCCTCCCAAGATACCCTGATTTCCCTGTGACTAGTGAGTGGCCCATATTTATGAGAAGACTAGAAGAACAAGTTGGGACTGGGAGGGCGGCTAGGTGGCGCCACAGTGCGTAGAGCTCTGGGCCCAGAGTAAGGAAGACTCATCTTGAGTTCAAATCTGGCCTCAGACACTAGCTGGGTGACCCTGGGTAAATCACTTCGTCCTGTTTGCCTCAGTTTGCTTGTCTGTAAAGTGAGCTGGAGAAGGAAATGGCAAACCACTGCAGTGTCTCTACCAAGAAAACCCCAAATGGGGTCACGGACGGTCAGACACGACTGAAAATTGACTCAACAAAGTTGGAGCTGGATTGGGCATGGAAGAAGGTAAGTGAATTAATCCGTATGGAGATTACTTCAAGTCTTGGCCTTTTTAACACAGGGCTGCACGCGAATGACTTGAAGCCTGTCTAAAATTTGTGGACTCCAGGTTAAAGGCCCCTGGACTAGAGGAGACGTACCCGATATTTTTGGATAAACAGACCAGAAGTTACGTGTGGTCATTTATTCCTCAAAGTAGTCACCCTGGTGGCCTGTATTCCTATTCCAAACAGGTTTCCAGTATTTTGAATCCTTCTTTGGCTTTATCTTCAGAGTATAAAATACTTTCGAAAACCAGTTGTAATGTCCTGAGGAGTATGGATTCCATTTTGGGGACTGCCTCGAATTCCTTTGGAACCATAGCTCCACCTCCAGTGTCATAAAAAATCCCTTGCTCGGCATTCAGAGCTCCTCATGCCTTAGCCCCCTGCTCTCTTTCCAGTCTTCCCACACCTTATGCCCCAACACATACTCTCGGGTCCAGTGGCCCTGGCCTCCTGGCTCATCCATGCACAAGACCTCCCACTTCCCAGCCCCACGTTCTCTCTGGCTCCCCCGGCCCGTGCCTGGAGTGCTCTCCCTCCTCATCTCTGCCCCCTCCCAACTGAAATCCCATCTTCCACAGGAAGCCTTTTCCCCCGCCCTCTCAATATCAGGGTCTTCCCTCCGTTCATTTTTTCCTGCAGTATATGTCCATATAGACATATCTACACATCTGTATCTATTTATCTGGTTTGTTGTCTCCCCCGTTGGACTGTAAGCGCCTTGAGGGCAGGGACCGTCTTTTTCCTCTTTATGTATCCCCAGTGCACAGCCCAGTTCCTGATACATAGTAGCTCTTTGTGGATGTCTGTGACTAACTGATTAAGGTCTGGTGAGCAGTGCAGGAATCAACCTGGCTAATGCTGTTTTGAGGAAAGTGAGATATAATTAAAAGAGGAAAGAGCTGTTCCAAATCGCAACAAACAAATTAATATTAAACCATTTGAGGCAAAATGGCCTTGGCTTGAGCCTCCTCTCATATGTCTTCACTTCAGTAGAAGCTCTTTGAGGGCGCAGACCATGTCCCTGTGGTCTTTTTCTGACTGGCGCCTGGGATAGGCCTTGGCTTGCTGCAGAGGGCTACTCAGTGCTCTTTGGGTGATTGGCTAAATGTGCACGTCTTTGGTTCCAAGGATTCATCTGAAAGATGGCGCTAAGTTAACCTCCCCAGAATCCAGTAGCTGGTATGTTTTTTAAAGACATGGCTGTTCACTTGTACAAAATAGTATCCACGTGGGCCATAAAAGGGTAGTTCAGGCAAGTTTCTCTTCTGTGGTCCTTAGGCATTCAGAATTAATAGAAGAATTTCTGTACAGAATAAATACATAATTCTTTACAGCATCAGGTCCTTAGAGAATAAAGAGCTTGAAATAATGTTTTCTTTGACTTGTCGAGGTCTTATGAGGAAAGGAAATTCTGCAAAGATCAGTGTATTTTTATGCCAAATGCTTTCAATTTGGGGTGTCTGAATTTTTTCATGTTAAAGCAGTCTGATATATGTGATACATGATATATAAATAATGACCTATGGTAAATTACATTTTTTTTCGTTCATTTCCCTCTTTAACCTACTTTTGGTCAGATGAACCTGTGATTTCTTTGGTATAGGGTAGGAACTCCCTCTACCCATGCAAATCTGTAATTTACAGTCTAGCCTGTGTCTGGGCAGTTGAGAGATCTGGGACCTTGTCCATGATCAGACAGCAGCCGGATATCCACTGTGGCATGTCGTATTCTGTTTCGTGGTATTGTAGTCAGATTACTATATTCCTTTAAACATTTCTGTCGTTCAGATTTTTTATTAACAATAAAAGCTGCTCATGAATTGCCTCCTATGTGATGAGTGTTGCAAATGGCTCTGGAGGAGAGAGTTTCTGTCCCTAAGCACTCACCCTTAGGGAGATTTCAGATCAGCAAGTCGGGCTACCTACTGTGTCCAGCTTTCTCATAGGGAAAGACTCACAGCTTTCATTGGGCAGAGGTACTTCATTTGCAATGCACCCCTGTCGTTTGCCTAAGTGTGCTTCCTTTTATGTTCTGTGTGGATGTGGTAAGAAAATATTCATGTACAGTTAAACTATATTGAAGAAAACCATTGTCCTTTTCTCCCTAGTAGTGCTGGCCTCCCCCCGCCTCCCCACGCATGCACACACACACACACACACTCACACTCACACACACTCACACTCGCACACATGCACACACTCTGCAAGACCCATTTCTTTATTTGCTGTTGGGTAACCTCGCACTCTCTCCACCTTCTGCTAATACCATTCAGTCATCTCTGGGAGTTATTGAAATGGAAAGATTTCTTTCTTCATTGCTTTTTGTAAGGGCCAAGTGCCTCTTTCTGCCGTTCAGTTTTTCCGCCTATTGGCTGCGTTTTGCAGTTGCTGCATTTCCAGAAAGTTGCTAGGTTGATGAATTATTGAGGTACATCGCCTCGGTTCGTGAACGACTTCCTCAGAGTCATTTTGCTGTCCTTTGAAGCGCTTTCAGGCAGAAGGCCGCCTGGGGCACTGGAGATTGTCAGCCTCCAGGAACGGGGCAGACTCCTCTTCTCTATGACTTTGTGTCAACAGAGAAGGAAATATTTCTGTTCAACAATACACTATTGTATATTTTTGTGCCTTGTTTCTAATTCTGCCACTGGGGGCTGACAGAACGTATCGAATCATTCTTCTGCCGGGTATTTGAAGATGACTGTCACGTGCCCCACCGTATGTTTTTGCTTCTTCTCTAGGCTTAAACGTTCACTATTGTTGTTCCATCATTTTGGTCGTGTCTGACTCTTCCTGAACCCATTTGGGGTTTTCTTGGCAAAGGTACTGGAGTGGTTTGCCATTTCCTTCTCCAGCTCATTTTACAGATGAGGAAACTGAGGCAAACAGGATGAAGTGGTTTGTCCATAGTCACATAGCTAGGTGTCTGAGGCCAGATTTGAAATCAGGAAGATGAGTTTTCTTGACTCCAGGCCTGGCTCTCTATCCACTGTGCCACCTAGCTGTGCTCAACTCTGCACCCAAGTGCTCGCCCATCTTTATTCCCATTCAAAGATATATTTTTGAAATGACTGCCTGTCCGACTATATGTTGTACTTGGACCAGTAGGCCTTCTTTGTCCTCTTGTCCTTACTCTATGGATCGATTGCTTGGCACATGCCTTTTCTCTTTGGTTTTGGGTAGGGTGCCCCCAACACTATCAAATGCTTTAATGGTAGAATACATCCACCTAGTTTGTATCTCATTTAATGTCAGTGGATGATTGAATAAGATTATCTCCTAGGTAGTGTCTGTCATGGAATGGGAGGGAGCTCTTTTGAAGAGAGCCTTCAAGGTCAGAATTTACTCTGTTGAAAAAAATACTTAGTTGCTCTCAACACACCATAGACTTGATATGATTTATATTCGTTATAACTCAGTCATTTGTGTGCCTGGGTAGATGTGGTCTGCTGTAGAAACTGTAGAAACTCATCTCCAGAAGCCTTGTTAGAGCTTTGTCACATATACCCTCAGGACATGGCTCATGGGCCATTTCCATAACGATTATGGAGTTGAGAAAAGGAGGTAATTGACATTTGAAGACCATCGTACCCTGGCTCTGATCTACCTTCCCAGCCTTCTTACAAGTCTCATTTCCCTTCATGCGTTCTACAGTCCAGGCACGTAGTAGTCACTTAATATATGCGTATTGACTTGGCTTCACATTAAGGCCATTGCCCTTCCCCATGTAGTATATTGGGCACTGAGATAGTGGTGTCCAAATGCCTCAGTTGTTGTCCCTGATGAAGCTGGATTTTGACAGAACGCTGGTGGGTCTTGTTAATTCCCAGGGTGATAGTGCCTTTTTCCAGGTTTCATCTATAAAATGCTTTCTGAATCAGGTTCGCTTATTTCAAGTGTTTGGCTTTTTCGTTAGGGATTCTTTTCCCCTAGAGTGTATGTGTTTGTGTGTATGTGTGTTGTTTTCAAGGGCATTTCTCTGGTTATTAGCAAGTATGGGCTCTTTTTCAGATGTGTTGAGAGTTGATGTTTCTTCTTTTGAAAGTTGTTTCTTTATCTCCTTTGACCTGATTAGCTCCTGATCATATCAGTTTATGTCTGTTTCCCTATAGGTTTTGTTTTTCCTTTTTTTTTTTTTTGTGAGGCAATTGGGGTTAAGTGACTTACCCAGAGTCACACAGCTAGTAATCCCTATAGGTTTTGAAGTCAGATTTTTATCCGAGTTGTTTTGTCAGAAGATTTCTCTCCAGTCCATCTCTTTTCCTTTGTGAATAAGTCTTGTTGATCTTCGTTTGTTTTTTACACCACAGTCTTTCCCACATAGGAGCCACTTCACTCCCACTGATCCTTCCCTTGTCATTTGTCTTTTCTTTTCACTTTAGTTAAGTTGATTTCATTTATGTGAAAGCTTTTTATTTTTATATAACAGCATTATCTTTTATAATACTCTCTGTGATGCTGGTAGTTATAAATTCATTCACTTTCTAGTTGTGAAAAATGGAGTCCTTTACTCTCTCCTAGTTTATTATGATATGACTCTATATGACGAGTCATTTTCATTTGGCTGATCGGATAATTTGTAGAGAGAGGATATATGCATTTTCCCCTATGCTATCACGATCCATTAGTTAAAGCATGAAGTAGATTTTTCAATTTACAGTTGCATTCATAAATATTTTGTAGACATGCTGTTGGTTTTCTTATACATTCAACACATTACTTCTTAAAAACATGGACATTTTCAACAGCTGTCTAGACACATTATGTATACTTTTATATTTATGGTGTGCCTTAAATTTGGGGGATTTCATGCTATTGTATTTGCTTTGTGAAATAATAGCCACCTCACTTTGGAAATCTTTTAATTAGTATGTATTGTCTTATTATTTTAATTTTCAATAGTATTTAATTACTATTAAGAGAAATGCTTTAAAAGAAGAATAGTGGATCTCAGAGTCAATCAAAAGCTTGTATGTAGCACCTACTCTGGGCTGGACATTAACTTCATTCGTGGACTGAAAGCCACCTCCATTTTTGATCCTAAATGTGTCTGGCATAACAAAGGGTCTTTATTGACTAGTTAACTGGAATTTTGGAAATTTTTAATTGTAGCTCCGATTGAATGGAGAAAAAGTTGAAGAGCTATTATCTGAAAGAGCCATCCAGTTCCGGGCCATCGAACGACGTCTGCTGACCAGATTCAAAGATAAGACGCCCGCCCCTCTTCAGCATCTGGACACCTTGCTAGATGGCACATACAAACAGGTCAGTGCAATAGGCATCATTTTTTTCCAGGATGTTGGAGATTCTGGTGCGACTCAGCATGGGAGTTTGCCACAGGGTGTCCTCCAGGGTAAGAAATGTCTTTCCCTGGATATGATTCAAAAGCATTTTGGGGCTTTCAATCACTGTGATCGTCATCTTGTTCTTAGAATCATCAGTGTGAGATCTGAGCCCTAGGTTTCATCTTTATCCAGTGTTTGACTTTATGGAGACAGAAACTGGGTTCATTCCTCTCTCTGCCTCCCTTCTTGAGAGGTCCAGGTGAGTGTCATAGAGTGCTATTTTGGTCAGCATTTTCATGAATGATGTGATTGAAGTAAGTGATGGCCTGCTTATCAGACTTACTGATGACATGAGGTTGGGATGGGTGCCTCAAGAATAGGATAATGGATCAGAAAGCCCAAGCCATGTATCTTGGTGCTTCTCGTTTGGGGAGCTAGGCGGTGCTGTTCTTATGCACGTTTGCCTCTGTGTTCCAGGCAAACAATATGCCAACATCTCTGAAGGTAAGTATTTTTTCGTAGCCTTAAAATGCAACTTGTATTTGCTCACCTAGATGTACATTTAAACCAAAAGATGCCAGGCAGACTGAAGGACCGCTGCAAAATTTCTAATTGCCAAAAAGTAGCAATCAGTGCCCTTTTATATGGACTATGGTAACTCTGCTAGGCCTTATTGATTCCAGGCTTTTTCTTGGCTAGTATGACACCTGCAATCATATTGACTCTTAGTAAGTTCCTTAGAGGTACAAAGTCATGAGTGCATCTGGTCTGGTAGTTGGAATTTAGTCAGATGAGTTCTCCAATCCCCAAATCCTATGGCCCAGTGGGGAATATGGGTCTCTGGGGGTGGAAGGGAAGGAGAGATCAGAACTCTCCTCTGCTTTCTCAGCTTGACCCTCCACCCTTTTATCATCTCTGTGAAGAAGCCTCATAAACTCTAGCAGAGAGCACTTTGGGATTAGCCCTCTGTCCCAAGCCTGGGCAGGTGCAGAGTATTTTAGGTTCTGGGTGTCGCTCCTATCCTCAGTTCAAAGATAATTGGGGGTACTTAAAGGATTTCATGACACCGAGTCAGTCATTGGTAATGGTCCTTTCCCGAGGAACTGTTGGATTTTGTCCTTAATCCTACATGTCTTTTGATTAATACACAGTATCAGTTATGATTTTAATGGAATTTGATGAGAATTTGACTCTAGGATATCTAGATTACCCACACCAATGAGATCATAGTTTCATCAAAGAATGAGTTTCTCTTTGACTTTTCGTATTCAGTTTTTTAATTCTGTAAGGTTTCCTTTCATATCATTTATGAATTAAAGTTCATTTTTTTGTGTGTGTCTTATAAATTTTTTTCAATTGACAGACACTTATTTTCTCTCTTTTCTGTCTTGGAAAATGACACATATTGGGTGGGCTATGGAGAAATGGGGCCATTAATGAGCCATTACTGATGCTGTGAATTGGGACAGCCATTCTGGAAAGCAATTTGGAGCTGCGCCCACAAGGTTTCTACCTTTTGAGTCAACAGAGTCACTACTCGGCCTGTGCCCCAAAGAAATCAAAGAAGGAGGAAAAGGGTAGAGAGCCACACTTTACTCGTATGTGAAAACAGATATTCATAGTAGTATTTTCTGTGGTGGCAGAAACTGAGGGGAGCCTGTCATTTGGGGAATGGCTGAATGAAGGTCATTAATTTGGTTTGTCTTTAATACATAGTTTCAAAATCACAGATAATAAAAAGGTAAACACCTTGTCTTTTTAGTCATATACTTGGGATATTAAAACAATATACAAAATTAATTCAGGAAAAAATCATGAATTTTGCAAACTGTTTGAAGTGTTAATTCAAAATACGTTTCGGGCCTTTATGAGGATATCTGTTAAATTATAGAGCCAGCTCAGCCTCCCCCCTAACAGAATCATACAGCCTGCAGGCGAGAGGAGTGAGGGGGAGCGTGAGAACTTCCTTGTGGCGTGTCTTAGGGAACAGTCCTGTTATGCATGGCCTGCAGTGGCAGAATTCGGAGACGCGTTCTTGTTGGGTGGACAGAACGTTTCCTGAAGTGGGGGCTGCGTCCAAGCAGAGGTGGTGGTCGTGGTGGTCTCCCCTTGGCTGGAGGGCTTCAAGGAAAGGCTGGACAGGCCACTTAGGAGGAGGAGGTAGAGGCGACGCTTTCATTGCCCTGTGTTGTTCCAGACCAGCACTTGTTAAACTTTTTCCACTTGTGACCCCTTCAGCACTTCTTACATTGTGGTCATGACCCCATGTGGGGGTCACAAAGGAGGTCCCTTCCAACTCCCAAATGCCTAGTTTTCCTTTTATCTTTGGTAACATAAATGATATGTAAGAGTAGAAAATGATGAAACTCTTTCCCTGGCCCCCCCCCCCTTTTTTAAAGGAAACAATGACTTTTGGAGGCAGGAGGCTTTTAAAATTTTTATCATGTAGCTATTTTTGGGGAGAGGAGATTGAACTTGTGGAATATTCATTTCTCTGTAATATTAACCACATTATATAACATGAGATTGAGAGACAGCATGGTGCCTTGGATAGAGAGCAGGCCTCCGAGTCAGGACATCCTGCTTCTGGAATATACGGTCTGGGGGACCTGGGGCTGGTTGCCGGATAGAGGGTTGGTGCCACCATCAGTGGTCATCCTTAAAAACCCTGACCATAGAAGGTGCTGATTTCTGCTTGTACAGAAAATTCCTCATCACAAGCTCTTCACACTGTTGAAACCCCAGATCTATTTAAAAAACAAAAACAACCTCCTCCAAATCGCCTTCTGTTTCCAAGGTGTTGCTGGGCCTGACTTGCCACTCTGGCCCTGGCTGTCATTCTTCTCATCCCTCTTGATAGGTGGTCTTGAGAGGCAGTGGGGTCTCTCCTTGCTCCCCCTGGGCACTGCCATACACCCCTCCCCCCAGCAACTTCCTTGTAACCATCACTTGGCAAACCCTCCTGCTTTGACAGGCCTTTCCATTCCGATGTATCAGCAGGTTTTCTGGAATCTTGAAAGTACCAGAATCAAAGGATGCAGAATAATTGATACATTCGTTATTCTAATTTGTGCTGATGATGCTAAATTTAATTCAGTTGATTAAACAAATATGGGTTGAGATTTCAGTATGTACTACTGGACCCCATTCTAGATGCTGTGGAGGAAACATAGATGATTAAGACCACAACTCTTCACTCTTGGCCCTTAAAATCTAGTGTTGGTCCCAACTAGTGAGAGAGTAGACCGGGACACCCACAATGATGCTATGAGGCAGAACAACTTAAGTGATGTAGGAAAGGCCCTGTTGAAGAAAAAATACTAATGCCATTATTATGCTCCACAGTTTGGGCTCACGTCTGGCAGAAACAACTTCATGTCTTGCTTGGAGAGATACCCAAACTGCCTTTGTGCCCCATGCCCCGGGGGGTGACTGCCCCAAGAAGCTTTGACGTAACATCTATAGGAACCTTTAACAAGGAGGAGATGCCAAAACACAGTCTGGACTACCATTCCATCCCATTCCTCCTGGAAGAGTCAGTGGGTTCTTCTCAGGGATCTGTACAGAGAACCTTAACTGCAGAAGAGGTAGAGAAGGTGCTTCCCTTTCCAAGGAAGAAGGTGTTCCCCTAGGGGAGGTCCTAATGCCAAGAGTCAAGTTCGGTTATCACCAGTAGGCCATTGGCATTTGTTCCTTCTACTTTCCTAAGGGCAAAAGTAGAAAGAGTTTTAGGTTGGAGAAGGAGTAATGCTTAATGTTTGTAGACAGACTAGCAAGAGTTTGTTTGTTGTTGTCTGCTTGCGTGGTACTCAGAGAGAAGAAGGAGGAGAGAATGAATGAGAAGCATTTATTAAGCATTTACTTTGTGCTGGGCATGGGTTAAGCTCTGGAGGTAAAAATTCAGCCAAGCAAGACAGTCCCTGCCTTCCATGAGTTTATGTTCTTATAGGGAAAGACAACCAGTATGGGTGGTGATGGCCAGGGAGGAATGTTCTGGACCGAGAAGCTAGAGCAGTGGTGGGTGAAGTCATAGGGTGGGGATGAACGTGCTCTTTCTTGGTTTGGTAGTATTGGCTAAATTGTTATACTTTGAGTTGTAAAGAGTGTGTGTGTGTGTGTGTGTGTGTGTGTGTGTGTGTGTGTAGGGGTCAGTGAGTGAGGGAGCCATGAGAGAGGTGCAGGCATGGAGAGGGCTGGGAATTGATGTGGTGGGTCAAGGTCCAGACAAGATAAACTGATGCTCACCCCCTCAGAACTTAGAGTCTCGGGGGTGGGAGTTTGAGTTCTACATTGGATTGAATTGGAGGTGGAGGTTGGAGGATAGTGGGTATGGGGAGGAGCTGGCTGGGAAGTTCAAGTCGGGGGATGAGGGAAAGCTTCATGAAGAAGGTTGTGTTGGAGCTGAGCCTTGAAGGGTTGGTGAAATCTTGGTAGGTTGGAGATGGAGAGGAAGGCCATTCTAGGCAGTGAATTAGGCAGACGTGGAGAGGTGGGAAGGTTCACATGGGCACGTACATACACACACACACACACGCGTCTATTGGGGACAGTGAACAGGAAGAGAGGATAGAGCCTGGCTAAGGTCCTGAGGGGCTGCCCCACGAGTAAAGTGTGTGATCTCTGCTGGCGGCATTTGTCATCCTTACTTTGGCTGCTTGGTTTTTAACTTTTGGTTCTTGGTTGTGTTCTAAATATGTGATGTAATAGATACACATAGCTGATAGCTGAGTTCTCGGTAGATGAGTTGCTCATGGGATTTAGACCTGGAAGGTACCTGGCCATGTTCATTCTTTCTAGTCTTCCCGGAGAGGATGAACAAAACCCACGTTCTTAGTAGCTGTTGATGTCATCGAAGAGCCGTGTTGTATTCCCAGCTGGCGTTGCCCTTGGCTGCCAAGTCTCTCCACGTGGCAAGGAGACCATCGGATGTTTGCTGAATGAAGTGGTTTCTGGGCTTTTTTTCCTACTCATTGTAACAGC